TCGATGTGAGTGCTAAGAGCCACAGTCGCTTTCCCTGTTTCCGCCCGCTTACTTCTTCTTCTTCTTCTTCTTCTTCTGTGCCTTTTTCGCTCACTCCAATCTGAAAGCCCATTTATGCCACATATATTGTCCATATATTGAACCATGCATAATGTCATTGAAGGTATTTTCATAAAAACAAGAGATCATATATTTGCATATTTGATGAACTATAGGTGGAAACCTGACGCTCTTTGAAATGTATGTCTTCCTCCAGCTTTTACGTCACGAGATGGTTGATAAGTCAGCTGTAGAACTGGATTCTAAGTAGATGGGTGCTGCAACTTTTCTTATCGATAACTTTTGTACTTTTTGAGTTATTAAGATTAAAGAAGAATCCAATAGACATAGAGTGTATTTATATCTCTGCTATCGTATACAGTACAAACTCCATTCAGTACTGCCCATTGATCCTGTGTGCCCATTATTCTGACATGTACAGTGTAGGAGTCGTTATGCATTAAAGTCTGCAGAGCCCACATCTCTCCACACGCGTGTGTTTGTGATGTGATCTGTGTTCTGACAGTAAAAGGACTGTATCACTACGTGCAGCTCAGCACTCAAAGCTCTGACGCTGTAAGTTCAGCACAGTAAGTAAAACAATGAAGGGATCAAAGTCAGTGAAGGCATCTGCAAAAAGTTTATATTCACATTTAGTTATGGAGTAGTAATACTTCTTTTAACATATATTTAAAAAACAAACTATAAGATAGATAGATAGATAGATAGATAGATAGATAGATAGATAGATAGATAGATAGATAGATAGATAGATAGATAGATAGATAGATAGATAGATAGATAGATAGATAGATAGATAGATAGATAGATAGATAAGTCAAGAAATAAGGCAATCTTATGCGTTTCTGTTTTTTTTAAAGTGCCTCTAAAGTTGAAAGATGAAAAACACTGTCATAATTGGATGGATCTTTGTGTGGATCAGTCTCCATAACAGCTTCTCCGCGAAGGTATTATTGATACAATAGGATTCATTACATTTTAAGCATACAGGGGGAGATCTGTGATCCAGGAGGTGAGGGGACAATAACAAACCTCACAGAACACCACACCAGCAACAACACAAAAACCAATGGGGCTTTATACACGCAGAGAGTCTGTCTTTGACTGATCTGACCACAGAATGGGATTTGGTTCGAATCCATGTGGACAATTGCTTCTAAGATCCCAATAACATGTTTAAGATTTGGGGTGAGGGGTCTTTAGAGTCCCACACACGAACTGCTCGTGACTTCCTCCAAAAACACGCAGAAGAGAGGGCGTGTCCGGTGCTCCGTCCCGGAGATAAGGTTCCTAATGCGCCGAGTTGTGGAAACAACTTCTGTAATCCTTTATCATGTGACTCATAGTAATAATCAGCCCATAATGAAGAGAGACGTCTCCCGGGGAGAGGCGCAGAGAAGCAGAGCTGACCCACCGGCCCTTACGCAGACCTGCACGGACGTTGGCCTCCAGTCCACACCCTTCCGGTAAGCGCGTGCATGGCCTTAACGTTGTTTTGGGAAAGTTGGAGGTAACATGTTTCCTCTAAGGGGGAGGCAGTTAACTCTTAAGATTAGTTTCTGATTACATCTGTTGGTCAAGGCGATCATCCACTTAACTTTTCTACAGGAACGTTAAAAAAAGAGCCTTTGATGTCACACCCAAAGGCGTCTATAAATAGACCGCTGGTAAATCGGTTATTATCATCATCCTTTTTGTATGTTTGAGGGACCAGAATCCATCAGCCACGATGTGCGCGATTAATTGTTGGGTTCGGGGAAAAGTGCTCCGACTTTCATTCATTCCCGCAAAACATTGAAATGCAAATGAGCCCGGTGAGTCAGCCGCGGGGCCATAAATACGGGCTCGCGCCTGTGCGCTTCTCCCCGCAGGCCCGCACACAAGATCCTGCTGCGCGCGGGAGGAGGACGCCGGACCGGTCCAGTTTCTCCTTCTTTTTTATTTTTTTGTTCCTCTCCGGAGAGAAGGGGCTCTGCGTCGTATGATGTCCGTTGTGGGCGCGCAGCCTTTCATCAAACCAATGCAGTCCTCACCGTCCGTGTCGCCCGGACTCCAGCGGAGACACACGCTGCCCGCCAGCGAGGTCCGGCCGCTCAACACGCAGGACGCCATCAGCGTGTTTGAGATCGAGAGAGAGGGTAAGTCACATTCACAGGTCACCCATTTACACAATTAACTGCAGCGCCCGGGGCCAAATCTCCTCTAAAGTCGCACTTGGTGAAAGAAAAGTTGCGCGCTCGCGGCTCAGAACACCTGCGCCATGGGACAGAGGCCAGTTTCTCAGCCATAATCAGCCAATCGCTGACTTCTCTTTGATTTGACAGTTCAGAAAGTAGATTTGGATGTCTTTTAAGTGAGCTTCGTCCATCTCTATGTTTCGTGCGCCGCCTCGCGCGTGTGCGTAAAAGCAGTGCCAACTCGCTTTTACGCACGGCCCGACGTCTCTGTTCTGTCCCCTTCAGCGTTCATCTCAGTGTCCGGCGAGTGTCCCCTCCACCTGGACGAGGTGCGTCACTTCCTCACGCTGTGCCCCGAGCTGTCCATGGGCTGGTTTGAGGAGGGTCGGCTCGTGGCTTTTATCATCGGCTCTCTGTGGGACCAGGACAGACTCACCACGGTAAGACGCGCTTTCCGCATCCCCGAATGAGCTCAATTAAAGCGCTAAAAAACAACTTCTAACCAAGTCCTCTTTTCTTTTCTTTCTTTTTTTTTCTAGGACGCCCTGACCCTCCACAAGCCCTGCGGCTCCACCGTGCACATCCACGTCCTGGCCGTGCACCGCACCTTCCGGCAGCAGGGCAAGGGCCCCATCCTGATGTGGCGCTACCTGCAATACCTGCGCTGCCTGCCCAACGTGCGCCGCGCCGTGCTGATGTGCGAGGACTTCCTCATCCCCTTCTACCGCAAGTCGGGCTTCAAGGTGCTGGGCCGCTGCGCCATCACCGTGGGCAGCCTCACCTTCACCGAGATGTGGTACCCCATCAGCGGCCACGCCTACATGCGCCGCAACAGCGAGGCCATCCGCTTCCCGCAGCAGACGCTGACCGTGCCGCTGACCAAGACCGACGAGCAGGTTGATTTGTGACTTTAAAAAAAGAAAAAAGAAAAACAACTCCAATCAGATTTGGAATCAAAAAGGAAGGTGGGGGATCCTTCTTTTACAAATTTCTAAGTGGCCGCTTGCTTTAATTTAATGGACTTCTTTCTCAGATCTCTGACTGAAGCCCATTACCGCGTGCGATAAACAAGAATGTACGATACTGTCTTGGTCAGGGTCAGGTGTAATCCATGTTGAACTCTTAACTGTGTCTAAAACTGGAGTTTGATGTTTTATTCGTGGTAGGGCTATTGTCGTACAGTAAGCCGTTTCCTGCTTAACACTTTTCAGTGCTTCCCTCACTCCACACTGACGTCAGAACTCCGGCTTCAGCCGCTCAACAACAGCTCCTGCAGCTCTATTAGGGGGCTTTAGCTGCTGGAAGTGTGTGGGGGATTTAGGCTTGCTCATTACTTACCCTGCAGAGCCAATGACCTTATTCAAACCTGTATGCACTGTGGATTTTAGTTCCTTTGGACTGGAATGTTCTTCTTTTTTTTTGTTTCTTTTGCAAGTTTGTCTCCGTTACAGCAAATGTCAATTAAATGTTTTATACTGTTTTTAAAGATTAAATGTATGTCTTTTTTTTCTATTTGCTCAAAGACATGTCACTCTTTTTTCTCCCCCCCCCTGAAAGTCAGAGTTTTTCAAGTAATGGTGAAATCAAAGAAGGTTCTCAGAAATGCTTCAGTGCCCCTTTTGAAATGTGGAGATGTCCATCTGCCCGTGTGGTTTTAATTTCTTCTGCTGTAAACAACCCGACGGAAAAACGCACGCCAACAAGTGGGGAGCTTTGTGCTCTTGAATGAAGCTTTAATCCATGACACAGTCACATACTAAAGTCTAATCCACTAACATGGCAAGGTGAGCAGCTCTGCCTCCTTTGGAGGACAAACAGCTGACGGTCACCCCTCCAAAATGACCCAGAGGTCCAGTTTGAACAAACACGAGATAAGTCTAATTTTACGAGATCCTCCGGTACAATCGGATCCTTTTTGGTGTTGTTTCTCTTCAAATGAATGTATCAATCCATCAAACAGTATTCTTGTAGTCTTTACGTTTACCCTGTTCTGAAATAACGACAAAACTCCACAAATCAATTTTGCATTATCTCCTCTCACATTAAGGGGATGCAGGGGGCTGGGTTTATAAATGGTCCCTGATGGCATATTTGTCAATTTTGTTTAATAAATGTGCTCAACTGAGATTCTAAAGAAAAAGACACTAAATTAAAGGTCCCTTAGATTTGATAGGATGGATATGTTGGTCATTTGAGGTGTCTTTAATTATTTCTAAAGTGTTTAATTCACTTCCAAAAACGCTTTACTAAAAACATGTCACACTGACACAGGCATTTCAATGAATGTTGTATTTTAGGTTACCTATATTTCAGGACAGTTCAGCTACATGCAAAAGAAGTGGAAACTTTAAAACCTGCAGAAAAATAAAAAAAAGCCTCCATCACCTAAAATCCTGGCAGAATGATTCGTTTGGAGAAAAAGCACAAAGGTGTGGGACCTCGCTGAGTTTCAGGACGCAGTGTTGTTGTCACGCAGGCAGTGATTCACACACAAAGGTGCAGATGTCCTCTGCTTTGAGCCGTTAGCGCCACAATCTGGAATTACAACAACAGCCAAAACAAAAACAAAAAAGGAGAAGCTAATTACTGCATGTCAGAGCATCCGGTCAGAGCAGATGTGCCATTTGTGCCCCCACTTGGTGTGTGTGTGTCTATGTGTGTGTGTGTTGGTGTGCAGCTGTGAAGAGTCCAGGACATTCATCAGGGTTTGATAGCAAAGGCTGGACCCACAAGTGTTCTTCACTGCTAAAACAAACAAACAAAAAACAAAACAAAAACCAGAGCGTTTAGATTTTCAGAGGAGATGACCTGACCATCAGGGGACATCCTTCAGCGCCCCCCCCGCCCCCCGCCGCCCCCCCTCCCCTCTCTCTGGACAGGGGCCGTTCAGCCGCTAGACAGGCTCATGTGAGGTAATCCCCCAAAGTCCTTCCAGTCAGCGGGTAATCTGGCCGGCAGACATGCCGGCACAGAGGCCGCAAGCTCCCACATCAGGGCAATTTACTGTAAACTCACCCGCCAGCTCAGACGGGCTCTTCAACACGCCTCTTCAGGGCCATCATTGGAAGTTTGGTGTGTTTTTCTAATGCTATTTTAAGACCTTCAAGAGAAGGTCTTTTTTTTAGATGAAAAAGACAGACGACATGCTTCTGTGTGCATGTGCCGGTGGTCCTGACCCCTGTGTTTGGTGTTGACCCCTCGCTGTCCCCTCTACTCTGTCCTTAACCCTAACACGGCACGCGCTGGTGAGTCATATTAATCTGTGTCCTTAATCCATCGTTGCAAAGCGTCCCACTCCCCTCACTTCCCGGGCCGCGCACAGAGGCCGTGCACCGCTCTCCGGGGCCAGTTCTTCCTGGAAACCCATCAGGATATGACCCCCCCCGCGTGTTGACTGGAACAACAAAGCTGAGAGTTCCCGTTCGTGGCAGCTCACGGCTGCCCGTGTTTAAGGCTTGGTTTGGTGCACTGAGACGCGGAGACTGCTGTCAGAAGGTAACAGCGGAAGTCGGAGGACGCTGTGGGTCAGCCATCAAGAAGTGAACAAGCTCCGAGAAAAAAAGCCAGAAGATCCATGGCGCCGTTTTCTGCCTGAAGCGTAGATGGTATTCAGCATTTGACTCACAAACATATTCTGAATAAAAGAGGCGGACAAAGTCCTGTGAAGCTTTTCATATGTTTAATATATACTTCATTGATTTAACTTCACAGTTCTGAGAAAAACAGTTTACCATGAAAAAAAAAATTCCCTTTTTCTCTTTTCCCATTTTTAAGTCTTTTTTTTTTAACAGCAGATGAAAGGAAGTACTTAAGTAAACACATCAATTTTTTACCTTTCCACCCCCCACAAAAATAAAGTATTCAAGTTCTCAAAATACATGTGTAAGGATACAAACGGTTTTCAGTGTTTTTTTTTGTTTGTTTTTTTGCGGTTCACATCAGCTGCAGTGCTACAGAGCGGTGGAGGTTGTTTCGAAAATGTATCGTTCAGGAACTGAAGCGGAAGTTGGAGTACGACGGGGCGTTATCGGGGTCAGTGGAGGCTGCGGGCAGCAGCAGGAGTCCGGTGGACACGTCCCTCCGACAGCGATCCATGGCCTCCTTGTAAGATATCATCTGTTGGGTGAGGGGGTCGAGCAGCTCTTTGGTGTGGAAGGCCTCGTCCTGCAGGTGGCTCGCCATGGGGCCGTCGATCAAATTGTGGGCCAGAGCCTCCTGGACGGTCTGGCGGCCTGCTTTACTGGGATCCACCAGTCCACCGGTCAGGTACTGCACCTCGATGTACCTCCTGGCGTTCTCCTGCGGGATGTACCCTTTCTGGGCTGCCTGACCTACTGCAAGACGCTCTCTGGTAATGGGGTCCTCAACCCCGGTGAAGGCCTTCTGGGCGTTCAGGAGCTTGTGCATTTGACTCGAATCGATGAGGTTGTGCTCGACGGCCTTGTGGACGGACAGCTTGTCCTTTCTGCCCAGATCAACAATACCTCCGGAGGCGGCTTGCGCCTCTAGGAGCCTCAGGGCTGTCTCGCCGTCGATGAGTTTGCGCGTGTGCGCACTTCTCACGGACATGCGGCTCTCAGTGGTGGTGTCGAATATGCCCGAGATCGGGAAGTGCTCGTCGTTGGTTACCACGTGGAGGCTGTTCAAACTGCCACTGTTGTAAGAGTTCAGGCTGCCTCTGGAGGACCGCAGGGGCGTGGGCATTGATTTCAAGGGAGAGGTCGGGGTGGCCTTGGTGGGAGATCTGGGTGAGGGAATGTAAGGCTTTTTGACCTCCCCTGCCACGAGGAGGGCAAACTCGGAGATGGGAATCTTTCCTTGCTTGTAGCGATCCACGTCATACTGGGTCAGGGTGCCCGCCTTCAGAGCATCCTTGACCGAGTACTGCTTCCCGCTTTTTCGGTCTTGCAAGACCGTGACGTCCCCGTCTGGACCGGTTGAGGTGATCTCCTCCCAGTCGCACTCCAGCTGCGACAGCTGAAGGTAATTGTTTCGATCGATTAGTCCTAGCAAGTAGGCATCGTAGGGAGACATGTCTTTACCGGTGTCCGGGTCCAGGATGGTGATCTTGGTTGAGAGATTCGTCTCCCTGGTGTGCGTTTCGGAGTGCTCCTCCGTCTGAATGCTTTTCTGCAGCTCGGCGATGAGCGTGTCTTTCTGGTGGATTCTGTCCTTTTCATTCAGGATGTCTCTCTCCAGCTGCTGGACCTCTGTGGACGTCTTGAGGCTTCTCTGACGGGCCAGCTGGCTCCTCTCACTCATCAGCTTGGACTGTTGTTGGAAGGTTATCGTGATGCTTTGTTTTTCGGAATCCAGGGTTTTGAGTTGCTTCAGGAGATCGTCCTTCTCCCTTTGCAGAGCGTCTCTGTTTGAGATGAAAGTGTACTCCTCCTGAGAAGTTATGGACTTTGATGTCTGCAGATTATTCATCTTCATTTTTATGCTCTGGATGTCGTCCTCCTGGTTTAATCTGAGATTCTTCTCATGGGCAACTAGATCTCTTAGATGTTCCCTCTCAGATTCGACCGCAGGGTCTTTCTCTATGCGAACCACTTCTCGGTAAATAACCTTCTCAACTGACTTCTCTTTTTGCAGAATTTCCAGCTTCAGCGTGAGGTTTCGAACTTTACTCTCTAGACTGCTGACGCTGTTGACTTCAGCCTCCAAATTGGCGCGTATGTCATCAGTGAGCTTTTCAAGCTTCGGGTCCCTCTCCACCTTCAGGACCTCCTCGATGATGATTTTTTCCTCAACAGGTGCTGGGGAGTTCTCCAGCTCTAGAATACGAGATTTGATCTGCCTGAGCTCCGACTCCACTTGGATCTTCTTTTGGCGGTCGTCCATCTGAGCCAGACTGGTCTCTTTCTCTTGAACCAGAGCTCTGAGCTGTCTGACCTCTAGTTCCAGTTTTCTGCGTGCTTTCATTTCATCGTCCAAGGTCCTGTTCAACTGATCGTGCTCTAAGATCTGCTTGGGGTCCTTCTGAACATGCACAACCTCCTGCATTATGATCTTCTCCTCGGGCCTCTGCCTCTCAAGTGTTAAGTACTTGTTCTGGAGCTCAAAGAGAAACTCTTCCACGCTGCGACGCTGCTGAATCTCTTCTCTCAAGTCCCTTCGAAGCCTGTCGGCCTCTTTCTCCAGGAGAGGGTCGTTCTCGTACTTGATGACCTCCTTTGACACAAGCTTCGTCTCCACTATGGATTTTTCGGCTTTCAGCTGGTCCCGTTCCTTACGCAGGCGGGTGACCAGCTCGAGGGTGGTGTCGTAGTTGCCTTGCAGGCGGGCGACTTGGTTGTTAAGCCTTTGCAATTCCCTGATGACCTCTGGGCTCTTCTCTTCTTTGATCACCTCTTGCGTCACATCTTTGTACTCTACTTTGGGCTTCTGAGAGCGCTGGGTAGTCAGAGCTACCATCACCGTGTCGATCTCTTTCTCCAGGTTGGTTCGGTCCCGGCCTTTATCCTGGAGCACTTTCTTTAGACGCACCAGCTCTAACTCCGTCTCAGGGTCGACTCTGTAAATCTCATTGATGATCTCCTTGACCTCAACTTTGGGCCTGAGCTTCTCCAGTTCGTCATAACGCAGCTGAAGAGTGGTCAGGTCCTTCATCAGGATAACATTCTCATCCTTCTCCTCTTCCAGGCCCATTCTTAGCCTGTTTGACTCCTCAACCATTTCCTGATCTTGCTGTACTTGCTTCACCACCTTGGTGACAATCTTGGGCTGGATGGTGGGGATGACCCTCTCCAAAGTGTTTATCTGGCTCCGTATGCTGAAAATACTATCGTTAAGTGTCTTGCACTGGATTTCCTCCTCTGCTATATCTGTCTGAAACATTAGAACAGCCTTCAGCATCTCTGGATCCTTTTCCACTCTGAGTTCCTCCTTTTTGACGATCCTCTCTCTGATTTTTGGCTTTTGCTGACTAAGGGTTGTGAGTTCCGTTTTGACATGTATGGCCTCTGTGTCTCTCGTTTGGAGCTCCAGGCGTATCCTCTGCATCTCATCTCGGATCTTAGCCGCCTCTTTGTCGAGCTGAGGGTCTCTCTCATATTCAGTCAGCACTTTGGTCACCATTTTGGGTTCAGTTTTGGTCAGCTCTAAAGTCACCTTCCTGATCTTCTCGTTGAACTCCTCGATCTCAGACTGGGTTCTTGACCGTTTCAATCCCTCATCTTGAATGTTCCTTTTCAGAGACTGGAGGTCCTTCTCCAGTCTGGGGTCACGGTAATACTGCACCACCTCCTTTTCCTCCAGCCTCTCTACCCCTCTCCTGCTCTTTAGAGACATAAAGCGGTTACGGTAGGTTTCCAGGTCTTTCTCTGCATGCGCCCGCCTGGCAACCTCCTCAGTTAGCTCTCTTTTCATGCTGTCGGTTTGCTCCAGGTCCTTCCTCTGGCTCTGCAGCTGCAGTTGCTGACTGACAACCACCTGACTGACTTTGTCTTCATTCTGCACACAGACAAAAGGGATGTTTACAGTCAAAGAGGAGTCATTGGTAACCGGCAAATGTGGCCGAAGAAAACCGATGCCTTACCCTCGCCATAATGCTCTCCGCTGTTTCCAGCTGACTGAGCCTCTGTCTGTTCTCTGCAGACACCTCGGAGAAGAGGTTCAGAATATCTTGCTCCTGTGATAAGGTGGAATCAGATACAAATTAGCAGATGACAGTTTTGAAAAAAATAAATGTAGTGTCAGAGAAATTTTTGGGGGGGGCAACATTTTTGGATGAAAACCATACCGTTCTCGCCACACTTTGCGCCAGAGTAGAGGTTTGGTGTTCCTTTAAATCTGTTTCATCGTCACTGTCACCCTGGTCCTTATCATAAAGATTCAGGGTGCCACGGTAGGTGTTTGAGTTCACTTCATAATCCTGGGAACAATTAGATTCGAAAACTTGAATGTTTAGTAGCTTTAAGAGCATACATGATCTACATCAAATAGAGCGTTTAGGTTCAGTAAATTAACTCACATATAAAACCCCCTGTAGGTCCCGGGACAGATCCTTGATTCGGTCCAAATCACCAGATTTCTTCTTGATGTCTTCCACCACTTTCTAAACAAAGGGCGTGATTTGAAAACACAATAAGTCATGACTAAAGCTGGTCACCATGTAATTTGCTAAACAATGTGACTAGAAGTGGTTGCAATCACGGGCGTAACGGATGCAGGGTATCTTGACCCTCTGTCCCCCCACAATCACAAGCTTTTATTCTGTTATTAACATGAGGAAAAATGTTTTTCCAAGCAGTCTTTAGAAGCACCATGATTGTACACATGGGTCTGATGGATCATAATTGGATTTTGTTCTTAAAGGCAGCAGGCAGAGGATGTGTTTAGTGTTGTGTGACTCTCTGTTTTATTGAGTTTGACTGTTAAAAAAACTGTTTATTTAAAGAACTAAAGTTCTTTGTGATTATGTCTTTAGCCACTGATGAGAGGTGAGTTTGAATGTGGGAGGATGACAGATCACTCCACAGACCTCTGAAACATTTCTCCCACTCAGTTCTGAGATGATGGCTGGTTGTAATAAAAATAGGGTTGAAATATTTAGCTGTCTGTTATCAGTCATTTTTCCCACAACTATCTTCTTTTTTTTTATTTATGGGAAAAACTAATAAAAAAAATCAATTCACCTCCTGGGAGTTCTGCTTGGCTCTTATCTGGGCCATGTCGTCTGTGGGTTTGCTCGTGTTGTTTGGCAAATTTATCAAGAAAAAGTCCAGTGACTGAACAGCGTTCTGGAAGTCCTGAGTCTTACTGCTTGCTTTCTGCAGGAGAGCTGACCTGAGGACAAACGTACAAACACGTATTACTTACATAAGCACAGCAACCATATGTGTGCGACAGGGCTTGGTGTGTTCTCTCCACTACAACTCACCTTTCCTGCAGCTGGTTGTTAACGTTTGTGTAGCGGTTTTTCAGCTGTTTCACCTGGTTTTCCTGGCGGCGGATGTCAGGGCAGAACTCGTTGAAGGTCTGCTGCAGGGTGCTGCCCGCTTGCTTTGCCAGGTCCAGATCTTTGCCTAATTTAGTCAGCTCACCCCTCTGTGAGGTGCTGTCCCTTAGCATGCCCTGGTTGGCAAAACCCAAAAGTTCCATAGATCAGACAAATGCATCGGAAATAACCTTAAGATTCTTATGATTTTTTTTCTACTTCTTCTGATTCACAAAACACAACACCTGCAACTTCTGGGTGCGGCTCTGAAGAGTGTTTGTTTCATCAAGGATGACTCTGTCTTTAGCTAGCTGCTCCTCAAAGCCAGAAACAACACCATCCACTTTGCCTATCTGTTTCTCCAGGAACATGGACGCTGTGGCTCTGGAAAGAAACAAAAAAACAAAAAAGAAGCATAACTTATGGTCAGTGCGCATAAATGGGCAATTTTTAAAAAGATAAAAGATTTTTATCTCACTTTTTATCATAAAGATCAATGAGTTGGTTGATGTCATTGATCTTGTTGTTGGCAGCAGAGAGTTTACTGGGGAGGCTGGCCGCTGTGGGGCTCAGGGGCTTTTTGGACAAAAGAGGATCCATCTCTCTTTGCACGGCAGACTTCTCAGACTCCAGCTTCCTGACGGTCAGTCCAGATTTCTGTGAGACGAGGAAAGTGTTTTTAAAAAAAATAATTATCGCTGTTTAACCCTTGGGAAGATTATTTCATGAAAGCGTGATGTTATTTTGGTGCTTACATTATGTTCCTGCACCCTGTTGGCCAGGTCTTGGGTGGGATTGCGCTTCTCCAGAGGGGTCCTCAGCCTGTTCAGGATTTCTTTCTCACTCTGATCCAGGGCTTTGTTGATGTTGTCTAATTTGTTGTTGAGCTCTGCAGCTTTGCTGTCCTCCGGGGCGCTGTTCACCGGAGCTAGGGAGGGGGGAAAAAATACGAGAAAAAAATATCTAGTGTGAAAATTGGAGATTTAGAAAAGGATTTACATGGGATTTGATAACAAAAAAAAGATAAAAAAGAAGATTTTTTCTCTAACCTGCATTCACAGAATGAACCACCTCCACCCTGGGGGTCTTCAGTGAGGTCATCAGTGTAGCTCTGCGGTGCTTTAGGTCTCTCAGCTTTCTGTCCAAGCTGAATTCAAACAAAAAAATGTTCTTTTAATATCCATCACATCAGTTAGGGTTCATACTGTTTGTGTTTGATTTGATCACCTTAAAAACAAACAATGGGAAGACAAAAATAAAGCTACGGCTGTCAGGTTTGATGTGTGTACCTGTTGACCGTCTCCAGGGCCTCAGAATCAGGCGGGGGGACCATGAAGCACGCCCCCGGGAGGGTTTTGATCTTTCCGCTGCTTGTACGAAGCTCCCAGTTCACGTTGTTGGAGTTGGATTTCAGTTTTAGCGTGTCGCCACGTCTCACCGTGTCCTAAAACGGACAGAACCGGCAAAGAGGTCAAACACCCCAACGAAGAAAAAAATAAAAAATGTCTGTCTGCTGTGATGAGATCTTACGTCTTCATCCGCCCAGTCACACAGCGCCACCGCGGTGGTGGGCTCGGCGGGCAGGATTCTGCGCAATTTGAGCGGCACGACGTCGCTCACGCTCTCCCTGAGGGCGGCCAGCCTCTGCTCGTTCCTCCTCACGGCCGGCTCATCCCCCTGCACCGGCAGTAGTTTAGAATTGATTGGCAAGAGTCGGGATTTAAACACAAGTCACTGGTAACCCCATTCTTTAGAGAAAGAACTGAACAAAAGGATTACTTCTGGCAAAAGTTCTGCACACTGACAGAAGCAGTGGGATGTATGAAGGGGAAAATATGAAGTGGGAGACTTTCAAATTGTGAACAAATACAGTGAGTAAATAGTCACTAAATGGTCAGTGAGGGCAGGTTGGACATAAATGCATTCAGAAATCACCGCTGTACCTCTAGATCCAGCAGGGCCTCCGAGTTGCTCTTGTTGGTCAGGGATTTGGGGTCCATGGTGGATGTGAGCCTCTCCAGGGACTCTGACAAGGTCTCTGCATCCAGCTGGAACTGAATTGCATAACGCATCTCAACATGCTTACTTCATTGGACTTAGCGTCATTGGAGTGAGTCACTGTGTCGAGGTGTTTACCTTCCTGTAGCTGTCAATGTTGTCCAAATGTGCTTCCTGTGCAATACACAGGTTGAGGAAGGCTTGCCACTCACCCTGCACTGCATCCCTGTGTGCCTGTGAATTTTTTTTTTATTATATTGATATTTATTTTGCTCACTTACATGATGCAACTAATACGGAATCCCCAAAAAACAACTCTTCTCTTTCCACTGGACACAATCATTCAGAAAATTCTAAGTTTTAGCTGATAAAAGAGATAGATATTTATATTTTCTTGGGGTGGGTGTAATATGATACGATATGTTATGATCTTGCACTTTAGGACATAGTAAGATGGTAAGACACAATACAATAATAATAATACAATACAATACAATACAATACAATACCATAATAAACTATTATACAACACGCAACAATTTCATTAGGATAAGATACAATACAACCGATTACAATATCAAATACCAATGTCATTACTATACCAAATGATTGAACAAACTACATATGATACAATCCATTGCTCTTTATTGACAGTTAATACACATTTAAGAAGCTAACTTTGAAGTTGGGTGCATAAAAATCATCTAACAGCTCTTTATCATGACTTGTTCTACTAAAGCCTTTATTTAATTATTTTCTACATATATTTTGTTAAACTTAGTTTGGGAACGTCTCTCACATCCATATCCACATAGATTTTATGTTTGAAAAACACAAGTGGCCCTAAGCTGGAGGTCTGATGACCCGGCCCCTCTCCTTTGGTCATTTGTGCTTGGGGAAAAACGAATAAGCGTGTGACGTACCTCTACTGTCGGGGTGCCGGGATGTTTCAAAGCCACGAGACGGTCTCCCTCCTCCTGCAGCAGGTTGACCTCCCGCTCATGTGCGAGCAGGCCGTTGCTTTTGAAGTTCTGCGTACAGGCAAACATAGGTGGATGGAAAACGACGGTGCAGAGCCTTTAGAGAGGTTGTGGCCGCGTGCGGCGTTAGCCGGTGGCGCTGCACCCGCTCTTGTCCCTCACCTCGTACTCGATGCGCACGCCCGGGGGGTCGGCCATGCGGTCGCTGTAGTCCCTGCTGAGGATCCTCTCCTGCTGGCCCGACAGGTAGACCAGCTCCTTGCTGCAGCTCTGCATGTACTCGTACAGAGAGGCCAGGTGGTGGCCCCGGCGCTGGGAGCTCTCCTGCAGAACGCAAGGCGCCCACAGGGTTTAGGAACCGGGCACGTGGGGCCAATGCTCGGAACAAACAAACCAACCGAAAAAAAAAAAGGGCTACTCACGAAAAGGTCGGCATATTTGTCTTTGAGGGTGTCGTACTGCTCCTGAGGATAAAGGACAAACGGAGATGAAGAGGCTGGTGAACGGTTCAGATGCTCAGGGGAATGCTGCAGAGCTGCTGTGTTCTGGTCACCTTTGAGCTGGTGGTGCCGGGCTGCAGCTGCCCGCTGTAGGCCTCGATCTCCTGGTGCAGGATGTTGTGCTCGGCGATCTGCTTCTCCACGTCCGGCAGGCTGGGGCCGTACTCGCCCTTCAGCTGGACCTGTGGGGCGCAGCGCCGCCGTTAACCAGGCTCCCCGGGAAAAAAGCGGATTGACCTCACCCCTCGGCGCTGTGAAGCCACTCACCAGCTTTTTGTCCAGGAGAGGGCCCCAGTCGATTTTCTGACTGGATGCCAGGTCCTTCACCTGGTCGTACAGCTCCCTGTAGGTGGCACAGCTCTGGGCCCAGCGGTCGTGCAGATTTTTGACACTGCGGACAGAGAACAAGTCAAGCCTGGTCACACCTCTCAAAGGGCAGGAGAAGAGTGACGAAACGGGAATGTCGAGGCGACGGCGTGTGATGAGAGATGAGATCTATCTCAATGGTGTGTGTAAACTTACTCTCTCTCTATCTCACTGGCCTGCGGGTGCTTCAGCTTCTTGGCTTTGTCCACATCCAGGAAAAGGTCCTTCAGAAGGCCTTCGGCCTGTGCCAGGTTGTCAGCGTTCTTTGTCTGGTGGACCAGCTCCTCGGCCCTCTCTTCTCGCTCGTTGTCCTGCAACAATACCGGCAAGTGAAGGATGAGAACTCTCTCTCTTCTGCGTTCTCTGCTAAACTAGAGACTCACTATTTGTCTAGCTCATGATTTGATAGCTCAAGATCAGTAGCCCACTCGCCGGAGGATGATGGGCACGGTTTTGAGGCCCAAGCTGTTGTACAATAGAAGTCAATTTGACATTTGTAAAAGCCGAAATAGGACGAGCATAGTTTTGTTTGTGTCTAATTTTAACAGTGAGATCAGTGGGGTTCTTCCACCTGGAATCAGAAGCTGTGAATGGTTGCTTTTGAAAGCCCGGCTGTTTGCGAATTTCTCACCAAAGCCAGCAGGCGGTCAGCTTCCAGAACGTTCTTCTCCACCTGATCGGCGTTCTGCTGCATGCGGCTGATCAGCACAGCCAGATCCGTGGCCTGAGTCCTGGAGAGAAACGCACAGGACAGGACACAGCTGTCAAGAGCTCATAATCGCGCAACAACTCCTCCCACCAGCAGACCTGTTTGGGGCCTCAACAGGTTTGGAATTGAGCGACTTGATTATTCATCTCTAAACTCAAACATGGATGCGTTCAGTCGAATATGGGAGAGGATTACTTCACTTGAGAGCTTTTGCTTTACTTGTGTAGGAGCCAGCCCTGAAATCTCTGAATTAAAGAAGTGAGATCCTCTCAAAGAGGACCTTGTTGATTATGTTGATGTTCAAAGTCTCTATCCTACAGATCTGTCCAAATTCAGCCCCGACTGAATGCTGAAAAGTGTCTCTGACAGTTGTGCCGTGTCAACCAGATCTTGTGACAGCCGCATTCTTTCATTACCTAGTTATTTACCTCCCACCTCCGGATCAACATCAATCAAAAGTCTTGCTTGGCTGCTTGAAGAAAAAAAAAAAAAACTCCTACATTTGGTTAGAGACTTTGGAACAAGGACCTACTCTGAACAAAAGCACCGGAAGACAGCGTGGACAATCCAGATTCCTCAACCTGCTCGGCAGAGTCTTTCACCCATCAACACCCTGGTCGACCTGGCTGTTAACTCCACTGACACATAGAAACAACTATTTATGGTGACACACCCAGATAAGCGACCGGGGGGACCCGCGGCGTTGGCGCAGCCATGGAATGCGGCCGGTGTGTGGCGGACATTCCTGCTCATCTACACACCCTGTCTCAGTATGGGAGCTCGTGTGGCAGCTTTACGACAGGTGTAGTCACACAGCGTGACGGGTACTAGACCTTCTGACGCTGAATTCGGATAAGATCCTTTTAATTAGTCCACAAATGGCAAAGAAGAGATGGACATAGCGGGCGCATGTGAAAAGGTCACAGGTCACGGTTTGACTGTAAAACATAGAACTGAGGTGGTTTCTTAGAATCAGAATCAGAAATACTTTAATTACCCCAGAGGGAAATTGAAACTCATCAACTAATTACCTAACTAACTACTAAAAAGAAAATGCTTGAGACGGTTCAGCATCGTGTCAGAGCCGATGTGAACTGTCAACCTCTTCCATTCAAGCTCAGGTGACAGTGAGCGGATTAAGGCCTGCCACTCCCTCAGTTTCATCCAGCACACCCCACCGGGGCAGAGCACTCGTGTTCAGTGTGTGTTGCCCCCTTGGTGATCAGAGAGGGCGATCAGAGGTATTCCGCAATCTCTGGAGTCAACTCACCCCTCAGCTACAGCAACCAGCTGTTACAGGGCAAAACGAGAACAGAGGGTTTTGCTATTAAAGCCCGGTCCCGGCTGGTTAGGCAAAGGAATCGGTTTAAGGAGTGAAGACGGCAGCCAACTGAGAGGCAGCCCGTTGGTTTTTAATAAGTCTGTAAACACTGACGGGCTCGCGATACACCCCTTGGGCAAAGAAACAAAGATACGAGCAATTAAGTGCTGCGGTTACATAAAGGAGTCAGGAAACACGGACGCAGATCATTTAAAGTTAGTAACATAGGGGAGGTTATTTTGAGAATAAACAGGAACAAAAAGTTGCGAAACGTTGTGTATCGTGAGGGTGTGTTCATTCATCTGAAACCCTGGCTCCTTTAGCTTTTAATGAATGAGTCATGCACACAGATTAAACTTAACACCTTTAGCTTTGACAGGCCGATCTTTGTTAGCTTCATAACAGCAGAGCCTCACAGATATGAGACCCTGCCGCTTGTCTAGAAACTAAACAAGCAAAAAGAAAAACAGAACAAGCAACACACTCACACAAACACACGCACACACACACACACACACACAGGAAGTACCTACTCACCTGGTCAACTTCACAGAGCTTGCTTCCTTTTTCTTGGACATCTTGGGAGACGGTTGGGACCCGTTTGGTGTAATCTGAGTCTGGTTGTGTTACTTCCAGCTCCCTCTCTGTTACTGGAGGTGTCTCCCCTGGGTTAAGGAGCGTCCACCTGTCTCAGCTCCACCCAGGCCGGCAGGTGTGTCGCCAGTAAAAGCAGCGCATGAGCAGACCGGGCGGACCTGTTCCACCCCACTGTCATTACTCAGTCCTCACGCTTACTTTTTACTCCCCCGCCCCCACCCCACCCCGTACATCCCCATCCACTACAGCAGCTTCACGCTTATCAGCTTTCTTAGAGGCTCCATTTCTGTTTTAGTCAGAAATTAGGAAACAAAACAGCAGGAATGCAGGCTAACTTGTCTCGTGAACACTTCCTAAATGGTGTTATTTGAAAGGATTAAAACCTCAAGTGTGACCTAGCTGAGAGGATAAAATTTCGACTTTGGGTTGATAAAGATTTTCTTTATCTTTTCTTAAATGGGAGATGTTTTTGGTCAGATTTCCATAGTTTTTTTTTGCGAATCCCATCTTTGCACTGTTTTTTTTTTCCTTAAAGTACTGTTTATACCCTCATACTCAGAAGGGTCCAGCGTGTCCATTTCCAGATATCTGTACTTATCAGACACACGCCCTGTACCATTACACAAGAGTCAAGGTCTAACCAGAGGAACGCAAAGTTCACCTGCTGCCTGACAAAAAAAAAAGTTACTCACAATGATGGAGTACGGCAGGACGTGTTTTTGTGTGTGTGCGTGTGTGAGTTTATGTAAGTTCAGGAACATGGTATGTGGTGGAATTTAGAGAAAAGTGGGTGGGAGTTGAAAGCACCAGTGGAGAGAAACAAAGCGACTTGTTTCTGCGTGGGTGACGAGAAAATGAGTTCAGCATGCTGCCCCGTCTCATGCTTGCTGTGGGTGTGTGTGGTGCACACCCTGAGCGCTGACTCCTAAAACCAACACCTACATGCCTGAGAGCAGAGGGAGGGATTAAGAAGGAGGTACAAAGAGCAGCTGAGAGGGCAAGGCAGAGGAAAGAGTAACAGGGGAGGGGACACAGGACGCCAAAGTTATGGCAAGAATTCAATTTTTCAAAGAAAATGATCAAATCAAAGATTACGTATAGCTGATGCTACGAGGTCGTGGGGGATGAACTCATCCCTGACTCAGACCCCCTTACTGAACCTCACAGAGTTTTAAAGGATGGTTGTGATTTAAAAGTAGAAAAAAAACATTTTTTGAAAGGAAAAAAAGGGGGCATTACAGCCTGACTGGTTTTAATTCAAAAGAAGGCTTTTGTAAAAATGCACAGGTAAACTTGAAATTATGCAATTATGTCATGACACCTAAAATGATTCAGTTTATCCTCACATCAAACATGAGATCAATATAACTAAAATTAACTTAGTGCCCAGGTTCATTAATTGGCAATATATGTTAAAAGTTTCCTATGTCTATGTACCCCAGTTTGAGTTCTATTCAGTTTATTAATCTTTGTTTTTTGTCTGTGAGTGAAAGTCACTCTAAAATAGCATTAAATCAAGTATAAAAAAAACAAAAAACATTTTCATGTATGAGTTGCTTGTTACAGAAAGGTAGTTGCACATCAGGATTCTAGTCCAGCTACAGGGATTCAGTAAGCATTTCCGCATTTTCCAAGGCCACAGTTCTGTGAACAAGCAGAAGAAAAAACTCTTATCAGCCACACCCACAAAACTTGTAAAAAGAGGCTGTTCAACAAGTTTTAATCTGCTATCAGCATACAGACCTGGGCCCAACTGTTCAGTCTCTGGCAATATGTAACAGCAGCTCTTCATTTGGATGTTTTCCTTTCACACGACCCCTTTAAGCATTTTTACAAATTATGTACATAAACCCCATTACGGCCTTACAAACTTTCCATCAACATTTCAACCATATGAATGTTGGATTACCTTGTGCTGAAAATGTTAATATTCAAAATAAACCTAATGAAAATAAAGTTTGTAGCCTCTCAAGCTGAACACAACCACATTGATGAGGGCAGAACTGCTGGCAGCAGAAAGTCAGCACAGCTACATTTTAAGTGTACTGTGGTTTATCAGAGTTCCAAACAGTGTCCAATCTAAGAGCGTGTGGAAAACTCCACAGCTGAATATTTGCAAATGACGACACCTGCTGGACAACAGGAGTGCGACAGGAATTCAGGTCAGCTAAAGAAATGCGTGTTTAAATTCAGGAAAAGAAAAACACAGGGCAAAAGGACTCTTTTTTTCTCTTTATTTTTTAAAGATCATGCAGTGCACTTCCAAGGGAGAAGCTCATCACTTTCAATGATACACGTGAAAACCAATACACCTGTAATTACCTATTACAAAACTTGAACTAAACATTACTGAGGAATGTAACAAATTAAATATTAGGAAAAACAAGAGTGCAACACTATTGCTGCACTGCAGATCTCAAAAAGGCTTGATAGAGGTTGAAATTTTAACCCTGTTGTGTAAATACAAAAAACTGGATTAGGTATAGAACTTAAAAAGACAAAAAAAAAGCAATAAATTACTTCTTTTCAAGTATATGGTGCATTTACTGAGGGAACTGTGGAGGCATGGTGTATGGCACCAGGGATGGAGGATGCTGCTGGGGAGCCTGTGCCTGGGGGAAGGGGAATGCAGCATGGCTCACACCATTCTGAGCGACAGCCTGGAAGTTGCTCTGGCCGTTATAGGACGCCGCTTGTTGGGTTACAAAGTTAGACTGTCCATTAGCATTGTAGGCCGCAGCGCTGTAGCCATTGCTAGTGATAGCATTAACTCCATAGCCTCCATTCTGCGTATTTGCACCATAGGCCTTATTTGGTCCATTGTCAAAGCCTCTACCGTTATCCCTGTCCCTACCAAAATCACGCCTTCCGGAGGAATACCTATCCCGACGATCTCTGTAGTCACCACCTCGGCCGCCCCTTGAACGACCTGAGAAATAAAATAAAATTGCTATTAAAAAAAAGCCAAAATCGCAGCACATTTTAAGGAGATATTAGGTTCAAAGTCCTTCGACTGTTTAGACCAGCAAGGAAAAATGTTTGCTTTGAACAAAAAAATGAAAAAAGGCTGCCATCACAGCACAGTTTCTGTATCTCACCAATTAGATTTACCTCCTCTATCTTCTGCCATTTGGAGGAGCTTGGGATTGATGGCCTGGTTAGCCTCCCGGAGGACAGAGATGAGGTCACTGGCCTGCCTCATGTTGTTTGGGGTGAAGAAGGTATAGGCTGTGCCTGTCTTTTGGCTACGAGCCGTTCTGCCAATGCGGTGGATATAGTCCTCAGAGTTGTTGGGGTAGTCAAAGTTGATGACAAATTTCACATCTTCAACATCTGTAAGATTATGTTGCAGTGTGGCAGAAAGGAGAAAGGCAGCACACAAGAGACGTGTGCCATTGCCACCACAACAACCAGATCAAAAAACAACAAACAAAAAAGGCAAGTTAGTTCTGTCGTGAGGAAAATAAATAAACGGGCCAGTTAAGGCCCCATGCCTGTAAAAGACCAGGATTACATGACATCTAATCCATGGGGAGACTACGGTGGGAAGAGATGAACAATGCACACTCCATTAGCTGCTAAGCCCGTGAGAATGAGATCCACTCTCCAGTGTACAATTACTGCTGAACCAACCTCAAAGTATGGATAAGCAGTCTTACCACCGTTGCGCATTTAGGAGTATGCATTCACTAGTCCATTCCCATTGCAGCACAAACCCCACATTTTGTCAACTGACCCCCCCATGAAGCCTGAACAGAATGAATTGTCTAACGCTACACCCAGGTCCTTTTGGCACACACACTGAGGAGCTGCTGGCCGTATAAGCCCACACACGAGTCTCTTGCAGAGCACCTATAGGCCTGAGCCCGTTTGAAAGACGTCTACAGAGCAATCACTCCTCAGCATGGTAAGCTTTCTCCAGAACCAGTGTTCACGTGATCATAATGTCTCTCGCTGGCAGGTCTCGACATGACTTTGAAACGCAGGTGAGGGAGGAGTGTGAGCTTGGATTTTGTCCCGACTGTGTCCAACTACCATGTCCCACTGTCACCAAAAAGCGCCAGTAGCCATGTCATTACAGAGGTGAGGATATGATCGTTAACGTGGACTGCTCTTCGGACAGATGTTTAGGAAACTGCATCATTAAAACCACCCATGCTTTGAGTCTCAACAGCATCTTCCCAAGTGACTCAAATGACTTGCAATGCAGGGCCCAAATACACATGCAAGACAATAAGAGACAGAGCAGCTGGACTTGCAGCTTGGACAGTTAGAGCCTGGGTGTGTAAAGCAGTCCAAACCATTGTCAGAGAACACCTCAGCATTTGGGGGGGAGGAACTGTGGCCAGCCATCGACTCGCCCCCCCTTTTTAGGCAGGCCAGCGCGTTATGCTGCACTTGGGCCTGGTCACCTCTGTTCATCTCCTTGACTGTGAGACCCGTGCCTCCCCAGTCAGGACACCTCCAAGAATCCTCCTTCCCCCTCTGGATACCTGGGCTTGTCATGCCAAGGCCCTGCCATACAGACTCCTTCCGGTCAGGGGAGAAACTCAGAAAGAAGCAGAAGAGTTAAAGAAAGCAAATATACTTTCTTTTTAAAATAGCTTAAAAAAAAGAAAAGGTAAATGCAGATACTGACCTAGACCTCGGGATGCAACATCTGTGGCAATGAGAATAGGCGCCTTCCCAAACTTGAACTCTAAAGAAAAAAAAGGTGGTGGGATTAAAAAAAAGAAAAAAAAGCTATACAATATCTGCCCAAAAAACAAACAAATTTTACCATTGAGAACCCAGTCTCTCTCCTGCTGGCTTTTATCACCATGGATTCCCATTGCCGGCCACCTAAGAGGAAAGAGACTCAGTAAGCTATCAAATAATTTACATCTTTAAAATTAAAATAAAAAATACAAAAACTGAAGCAACTCACCCATCCCTTCTCATCCTCCGTGTAAGGTCATCACACCGCCTCTTCGTCTCCACAAAAATGATCGTCTTATTTTCTTTCTCACTCATGATTTCCTCGAGCAGACGGATGAGCCTACAAGAAATTGGTAATTTAATTGGATTAAATAGGTTAAGTTGATTCAATTGATACAACCACCACCTAATGTTCACCAATACTGCACTAAATTACCATGGACCAATTACTTACTTGTCCTCTTTCTCGCCATCGTTGCAGACATCCACGATCTGGAGGATGTTGTGGTTGGCACTGAGCTGCAGTGCTCCAATGTTGATCTGCACATACTCTTTCAGGAAGTCCTCTGCCAGCTGGCGAACCTCTTTAGGCCAAGTTGCACTCCACATCAGTGTCTGTCTGTCAGGCTAAAAAAGAAAAAGGCAATTGGTCAGCAGTTTGCAAAACATTAACTGTGCCCGGGGATGTTTTTCAACACATGTTGGGATCCATACTCTGATTTGGTCGACGATCTTGCGGATCTGTGGCTCAAAGCCCATGTCCAGCATTCTGTCTGCCTCATCCAGCACGAGGTAAGTGCATCTGCGAAGATTTGTCTTTCCTGACTCAAGGAAATCAATGAGTCTTCCTGGAGTGGCGATGCAGATTTCCACACCTGCAATCAAACAGGTATTACTTGAAAGACTAACCTTTAAAATGGACAAACTTTTCCGGTGCATGGAAAGTGAAAAGTACTTGGTACCTCTTTCCAGATCACGAATCTGGGGTCCCTTAGGTGCCCCTCCGTAAATACAGGTGGACTTTAGACGAGAAGCTCTGCCATATTCTGCTGCCACCTGTTGCACCTGCTGTGCCAGCTCACGAGTTGGAGCAAGCACTAAACACTGAGGGAAAATAAAAGTTGCATTACTTGTTGGTTTTAAATTAGGAAACCAACATTGCCAAAGCAATTTCAAAAGCATCTGTGCGACATTACACCATATAAAGATTAAACTTACAATTGGTCCATCGCCACGTTCCAGGAAAGGCTGGTGGTTAATGTGGACAATTGCAGGCAGTAGGTACTGTAGAGAAACATTTCAAATATTATAAATAGATCAATAGATGCATGTGCCATAAAAACAAAAAAAGGTCCAACAGAGAGAGTGCCGAAGCAAAAACTCCAGAAACTTACAGAAAGGGTCTTGCCAGAGCCAGTCTGTGCAATGCCAACCATATCCTTGCCACTCAGAGCCAGAGGCCATCCCTGAGCCTGGATTGGTGTGGGGTCAGTGAAATTTTGTTTGGTGATCACCTCCATCACATAGGCTGAAAATTGAGAAAAATGTGTTACTTAATTGTGTTTAGCAATATAGCGGCATTACTCTAAACATTGAGCTTTGGCATTTTAAAACTTACAGGGGAAGCTTGCTTCATCAAACTTTAGGATGGGATTTGGGCAGTCCCTCCCTTTCAGTGTGATGATCTTAGTCCTTCTGTATTCTTCAACTTCATGCTGTAAAATAAAGGGATAGAAGATCAGAAGAAATTACATAATTCCCAACACGTGTTGTGCATGGTTCATGTTTACAGTGGAATTACGTAACACCCGCATACATACCGGAGATCTTCGGGTAACGTCAGGATGCTCCTGATAAAAGTTTTTCTCGAACTTCGGGAGTTCGTCCAGGTTCCAGTGCTTCTTCCGCAGTCGCTCACCGGGATTGCCAAACTTTCCTCCGCCTCCACCACGGCCTCCGCCAAAACGAGGGCCACCGCCATAACTGCAGTTTATGAAATTCCAATTCAGAGTCATGATTGTATAAACACAACGTATTTAATAAAAACGAAAGTCAGACTAGGCATTGCAGCTCATAAAGTAGTTCGAGTCATTGTTTTTCAAAGTCCAGGGAAGGAACAATGGGAGGGGGAAGCCGGCATTTTGTATCCATATTCACGCCGCCACATGGCGAAAGCCGACTAGCTGTGCTATGCTATGCTAGCATCATCGATGATTTTACGAGTTAATATAATCCAGTCGGTCTACCGGACAACTTATTTATACTTGGAAATGTTATTTTAAGTTGTACCCATATTTCTCATCCATTGTGTTTGCAATCAAGAGAATTCGCTGAATTAAAAGACCAGAAAGGTAATCGTTAACAAAACGAAGACCTGCGTGCCAGGGCACGGGCTTTACTGGCACGAGGCCAAACAAGGCCTCAAGCCAAAGTCGGCGACGACGGAGTTTTTCATTTTCCACCGGCTTCCTGAAATAAATATGATAGTTTCCTTGAGGAACGTTCGAATAATTTTCCGTGGGGTATAGACATAAAAATAGCGTCCGGTCGTTTATGTAACAAGTTCCAACGGCTATTATCTGGCTAAATTGTATCTGGTTTTGGGCTCGTCAGCCATTTCATGCGACGACAAAAACCGTTTACAACGGATAAAAATAGCCACTCACCCTCTATCTCTGTCTCTGCCGCGGTCTCTGTCGGAATATCCAGGCATGTTTAAAGTAAGTGTGTAAAGCTAAATACAAAAAGAGGAATAAACGGTGCCTTTTCCTGCTGGTAGAAACGGCGTCCGGCAGTGTTGCTGAAATGCCGGTAAAGAAAAATGAGGTCCGGTTTATATAAAAACCTATCCTCTTGCATGTATCCCTCCGCCGCAAGAGTTTTGACTTCGGCATACCACTGCGATTATATCTCAATCATTACGTGTTTACGGAAACAGCGCTGTTGTTTGGCCTTGCTTTTGTTGAAGTTAAAACCCAACATATGCACCCAGATAATATGTTTAACAGGTGATGAACTACGTTCAGGCAAGTCTATAATCGTACGCTTTCGGAACACATTGCGTACTTCTAAAAAAGTGTTCTTGCGCTATTGGTGTCCAAATGTGCTTTTGTGTCGCTGTTTTTATGCCATTGTATATTAAAAGGCCGGATTAAAATGTTTTTATCTAACCGAATACGTTCTATTTGACGACTGCAACAACTGTTGGCGGATGAATATGTTCTGTACGGAACAAAAGTGGTTGCTCGGCTCACTTCCGAGTCACACTTCCATTACAGTAACTGACGTCACGAGGACCAACCTACATAAAAAAGTTCTTTTCGTCTCTGCGTTGTATTCTATTCGTTTAACCATGTCAACGTGTGAATATTATATTATTTATTTACACTAACGTTATGGACTTATCGAGGATTTATCTATTTTAGAGTTTTACACCGTTCCCTGCTATGTTTAATTTGACATAAATTAGAAAAAAAAGGGAAACGAAAATATGAGGAAAAACATAATCCGGAAAAAGTTAATTCTACTTACCAAGAAAAAAAAAAGTGCATTGTCTTGGAAGATGTTACTTAATCCCTGTGTCACAAAACTACATTTGTGTCAATTGTTCTATTTAAAACATATTTATACACAAATACTGATTAAAAAACACCCCTTACATATTTGCACTCACAGTTTTAATGGCTTATCGCTGTGTTTAAAGGTAGTTTTAATAAATAGAGGAATGACTGCTTACTTTAAGTGTATAAGAAGGAATTTATCAGTTGCACAAAACCATATAGGCATGAAAACGTCTGATTTGCTGAATTTTTTCATGTCAATGGAAGCACAGTTTGGCACATTCTGATGCGGATGCATGTCTACAAAACACAGAAGTATGCACTTGACACCTACATCCCCCGACACAGTCATTGTCAGTGTACCCCTTACTCCAGACCCCCCGTCTGCCAGACATTTAAATCTCAAACAGTATCAGTCAGTACACAGCGGGTGGTGGACAGCATTTCCCATTCAGATGTAAAGCCAAACCATTTGCAACCCCCCCCCCCTCCCTTCCAATTGCAACTGCAGACAGTTCAGAGCAAACACATCTATAATACATGGAACAAATGTACCAAATTCTTGTACCAAATACCTTTTCAAGCACTCTCTTGGTGCATAAAAGGCTAAAATTACTGGGGGTGGGGGTGGCAGGACATATAATCGTACAAGGCGTTGCGTTGTTAGACAAAGGCAGGTTTAATTAAACTAATTACACACAAAAATAAAATACTCTTACAAAATGATAGTGTTAACATACATACAAATTGCATCAGTCAGCTATGAGAGATATAGTCCTGCTAGTGGATCATGCCATTTGGGAGAAAAACAGAAATAAAAACAGCGGCATCCCTCAACTTAGACCTGTTGAGTAAACAGTTGGGTTCATTAGGAGACAGATTTGGAGCGTTGCTGAGCGATGTAGTGTGGGAACAGACAGTAGGGCGATCAGCTTGTGCACCGGACTCAAGGATGAATTCTTTTTTCGTCTTGGAAATCACCATAAAACACATACAGTGACCTCGTTCCGTTTGTGTGCAATTCCTCTTTGCAGTTCAAGAAAATCTTCTTTTTTTCTACTTAAGTTAAAAGATAAATTACAGTTTGTTTGATCCACACATATGAACAAATACCTATTACTGTACAAAGCACCATCTGAGGACACTTTTCACTCTGCATACATTTGTGAGAGAAGCTTTTTTTTTCTTTTTCTTTCTTTTTTTTTTAAAGTGTATGCAAAAGTTAAGAACAGTCCACGGTCTTTAGAGATTGCAAGCCAGGCAGCATCTTTTCTTCTTATAAAACAAAACAACAAACAAATAATAACACATTCAGGAATTACAAACCGTATAAAACCTTTACCCCCCGGCCCACTTTCTCTCCCATAAGAGCGTCAGAGACGGGACTGCGTAGCAGGCTTAAAACAGGAACTCGTCTCATTCGGTTCAGCGCTTTCAACCAAAAAATGTGCACGTGGAGCCGTGCGACTACTGCTGGGTGTGAAGGGGCTAGCTGTGGGGCGCAGCAGAGCAAACCTCAACATCTCTAGATCTCTTAACGTTGAGGGAAATGAAGAAAGGGTCAGTATTATATTCAAGTCAGACTGACATCGTAAACTACATCTGACATCTCCTGAGAATTTGGCTACTTCAGAGTTTCTGTGGCCACAAACCCGTACGAGTACGAGTTTGTGCACTTGAAGCGGAAGGATGTCAGTGAGCAGGGTAGCTGATAAAACCTTTTTTTTTTAAATAAGGAAGTAATAATGCCTTTTAGCACCACATGGATAGAAGGTAGCACAAGGTTATCTTTTTTCTTTTTCACCCTAATATAAAGAGGCAGTAGACTTTGGGTTGTTCTGAGAAAATACCATTAGATATGAATGGTAGACAATTCTGCCAGTGACATGAATATAGTCCAGCTACAGATGACCTAAAAAAAACAAAACAAAAAAAACCTAATGAGAAAACTACATCACACCACCGTGCAGCTCCAGGATGAAATCAGCAGAATTTAAAGGGTCAGCTCAATATTTTGTAAAGATACATTATTTAAAAAAAAAAAAGAAAAAGAAAAAAGATTATGGCACTCAGAGGACATTACACATTTTTTTTTGCTCTGATAACAAAACCTCTCCGCTAAAAGTGAGATTTTGCTGAGAAATAAACCACAGCATTCTTCAGAGAAATTCAGTCAAGCTCCACTCTGCTCCCACAAATTGTCTTCTATAATAATAAAAAAAAAAAAGTGACAATAATGTGTAAAATGTGGGACTCTTCCCACAGAATGGAGAAGGGTTTCTGAAATATAACACCAATAAATTATATATATATTATATAGAATATCGTTGATTCTTTCTCGATTTTCCCTGTTATACAAAAATATCACATTTCAAGCTGCTCATTCACGGACTCTTTCCCAAACACGGCCGGCTGTCGAATGCGTGGAAGGGGGTTTTCCGGGTGTGCAGCGCTCCGGAGCAGAGGTCCTCTGCTGTCGTCTTTGGAGAAGGTTGTAAACAGTCGGTGTCTCGCCGTGCCTTCTCGCCCCCCCCACCCCTGTGCATCCTATCCTGGGCGTCACAAATCCCCCGCCAGGCATCAAAGAGCCCCGGGTCACGCTTGCTCTGCGTTCAGATTTAGCTTCTCCCCGGGTTGGGGATCGATAATAACCCTGTCCCCCTTGCAAGCCAACCAGTCTTGCGTGTGTGGTTATTGTTTCAAAGTGGACTGACCTTGCGTGGTCTGCGTGGTGAGACGGAGCATTGCTACATGTAATAAGGTCTAGTTTTATTTTCAAATGCTAGAATGAACGTAGAAAAAGAGTTAGTAAATAGTCTGAGTTATTAGCAGCTGAAGAGATCCTTTTCAATGAATAACAATAATAAAAAAAGACATTAAGGAGGGCTTGAGGGTTTAAGAATAACCCACAGTCATGACATTTTCTGGTCGTCGATGTCCGCCCCCCGTTAGCTTGACGAGTGTCCCGTCCACGACACCCCTCAATGGCCGGCGGATCGTGGTTAAAGTAGGAGGGGCCCTGGTCACCGGTGGGTTCTCACTCCACAGCGAAGCCACACGTCTCTTCGATGGCAGTGAGCAGCTTGTCGTAAAGTTTGTCGTAGTGCTCGTAGGGGGGAATGTCGATCCGGTTAAAACTGGAAAAAACAAGGGTTCTGTAAGGTTCTGCTAAATGAAACCAGGGTGTAACGAGAATAGTGACATTTTTGTACAATAAGTGCGCGGAATATTCTGTCTTATGACCTTCCCGCTCAATGAGGGTATAAACAAAGCAAGTTCAGCTTAACCTGCCTTTGTTGCATAACTAACTTGCCGCGCTGGATAAAGCTGGAGATAAAAATGCCAAAGTTATTTAAAATGAAGGTTAATCAATAGATTTAGTGTTGTTATTTCCCTTGTTAACCACCCATCCCCTATCTGTCTGACCACTCAGATCTGGAGTTTATTGGCTCTGATTGGCGAGAAAGTTGACTTCGACTCTGATTGTTATCAAAGACGACTTTTCAGTTTTGCTACAATATCAGATAACAACATTCAGAATATCTGCGCAATGACAATCAAACGTTTCGGTCTGATTGTCGCTGTTTGGGACATCTGGAGCAGACTGAATGGACCTCATTTTATCCCCAGATGATTTATTTAACTTTTCACTTTCATTTATGAAAGTGGAAACTCATTGAGGTTGAGTTTAATTTAGCTTTAAAGATTATTAATCCTTAATAATCAATTGAACTCAATGTGCATCCCTCTGCTTCAGTTAACTGAGAAGATGACAGAGCACCACCAACTTGGGAATAAATTAGGAGAGCTCGGCGTGACAAGAAAGTAATGTTCACGTCTGTGGAGGGGGTAACGCGACGGTTCCCTTACCAGGTGTGGGCTTTGGGCAGGTTGTTTGGGCTGGCATCAATCTGGTGGATGGTGAAGAGCCGTGGGCCTGCGGCACCTGTACGAAGTACAATGAGGCAAATGAGACCTTTGACCCGGGGGTAGTGTGTGGGACGGTCTGTGTTCTGAGGCTGCGACCAGATACTGTACAAGTCAACTTGAGTCGGCACTGAGGACGTCAATATTTACATTGACATTTGTGTAAAGTTGTTGCAGTGCGCAAAGACGCTGAATTTATATGGAGGGTTATGAAGTTTTACATCTTCCAATCAAGTAAACATCTAACAGTTAGCTTTTGATAACATATAAATAACATTCTACCAAATATCCAGTGAAGCTACCGTTCTGTTTTTAATGCAAAAATTGAATTAAAAATAAGAAAGAAAAAAAAGTATTGCTGATAGGTGAAACTGTTGATATTCGTTATTCTGAATTGATTCGATTTCATATTAATGTTTTAAGCAACTTCTGAAAATGCACTTGTGACCCCGGCGTTCCACTGTTGTTTGATGAGAGAGAACCAAAACAAAAACACGTGGAACGGAACAGGCAGAACAATATGGAGAGATTACCGCGCAGCGTAATTCTGCAAGTTGTTGACATTCCCAAAGCCAGACGCAGTTCTGCGAATGACACACTGACCTACATATTTGTTGCTGGAGTGCTACAGCAAAACGTTGAAGGCATGAAAACCAGCGCGAGCGACTCCTAATTTGTTCAGTAACACAAAGCTTTATTTACACTGCAGTTTCCTCACATTCTGTCTTTTAAAAAATAGTAAAAATCCCTTTATTCTGTTAAATATCCAGATGGCACAGAGCAGAGCATTGTGCTCCACCCTCAAAACGTCTCATTTTATATGAAAGACCTTTTGGATCCTCTATAAATGTAAATGTACATGCACTTATATAGTGCTTTTCCAGTCAAGCTGACTGCTCAAAGCGCTTTCCACTATGTGTCATTCACCATTCACACACAAATTCACACACTGGTTGCAACAGTGGGCACACCAGATGCAACCAGTAGGCAACTTGGGGTTAAGAGCCTTGACAAGAACTCTTTGACATGTGGAGATGCAACCAGTGGGCAAACTGCTCTTTCCTCCAGAGCCACAGTCGCTTGGGAAATCTGTGGGAGGGTGCCAGTGGATCGCCTTTTGTCTTCATGCCTGGGTGCTCTCTGCCAGGATAGACCCACTGACCCACAGCGCTACGAGTAGGCCGAGGATTCACCCCATGTCAGAGCAACCCGGACGGCAAAAGTCACAAGCTTTTTTAGCGCACACGCTAAAGTTTGTTCACAGAGCCTAACAGTATGGAGCTCACCGTCAACTACAAGAAAAGCCCTCTCAAAACAAACAGAGGATTAAACAGGGTCTATGTGTGTATCTATTACCTTGGAGGGCTTTAAAACCTTGCAGGGGAACTCTGGAGGAGCCTGTGACGAACTGCAGCAGCCGGGCTCGGCGTTCCTCGTCGAAGGACTCCACGGCTTTCCAGAACCACTTGACGATGTTGCTGTCCGGGGTGCAGTGCTTGAGCCGTGTGTTGGACTTCCAGTCGTTGATGTCGATCTTACCCAGGCCGCAGACGATCAGCTGTCGCGTTTGACAAATGAAACCAATCAGACTGAATGACATCCCAAATTAACAGAAGCAACGCGGCACGGAGCCGCTGACGCACCTCCAGCTCCTTCTCGTCGAAAGCCTTGAGCAGGTGCTGGGGGATGACCTCGTTGAAGCCCTTCTGCAAAGCCAAGAACTGGGCCTCGATGCCTCGCAGGAAGCGCCAGTTGACGTAGAGGCGGACGTACTCTTTCTTGGTGTCCTGGGTGACCGGGATGCTTTTGCCGTTGGGTTTCAGCTCGTGCTGGATGATCTCCCCATAAGCATTGTGCTCTACACAGAAGGTGTGGTCCAGCACACCTGTGATGTCATTATCCCTGTGACGGATGATGCACCAACGGATCAAAAACACATGTCAAGTAGTGAGATGGGTGGGATAAAAGCTTTACTTTTCGCTGCTTTAACACATCTGGTTTTGACAGAACTGAAATATTGCTCAGTCTGCCATGTGAATCAGGTGTGTTGAAGCAGGGAAACATCTCAAATCTGCACGACACCAGCACTCTAGGAGCAGGGTTTGATATCCCTATCTATAGTGCTCATGATGTACAAGATAGACATAACCTCCGGGAGGCGCTGTTTTCAAGGTAAGAGGGGAGGTGGAGAATCAATTGGAGATTTTTCCACAACATATTTCTAACTTTTGGTTGTCTGTGATACCTGATTGAAATGCTTTCTATTTATGTGAACGATACGATTAAAACTCGACTTTTACGTACAGGATCCAAACGAGGCTGTTGTGAAGGTCGGGGTCAACGGACTCCATGTCGTCCAGGGTGATGGGTTTACCCAGAAGCTGCTTGTAGAAGGGTAAGGTGAAGCCCCCGTCTATGTAGTGGCCATGGAACACTGCCATCCCCATGATTCGGCCCACAAAGTGAAAGTATGACAAGTGCTCCTGAAGGGGGAGGGAAAACGCTTATTTATTCTAAATGACAAGATGGCAGTGGCATGCTTTGAACGTTCCTTTGATGCAGACAAACCCTCCCAGGGCAGACATAACATGACCATTCCCACTCAACGGCCCGCTACAGTTCAGGGTGCCGAGGCCAACTCAAACACAGCGATCGAGCTATGTTGGATGGGATCAAATATTGTCTGTTCTCTTGTGATGTCTGATCTACTCCAAATCACCAAAGAACGAGGTAATAAAATGCCAATTTAAGTCACGGGTGTCCAGCATGATGCAAAGAGAAAGAGATTATGGTAAATAATGTTTTTTTTTCCTCCAGTTAATGGAAAACAGCAGTAAGTTGCTTTCAGGGCAGTTTAAAAAAAAAGAAAAAAACAACTCAAAAGTATTTCAAGAGGGAAATGTCTGGGAGCAGAATGTATTCTGAACCTCATTCCAATGGTAAGTGCGTGAGCCTGAATTTGGTTCAGGGCTTATGTCAGAGCCAGTTCTAAGCTGGATTCCAGCTATGAGTTGGTTTGATTTTCCGCTGCCAGAGAGCCATGTCATTATGTCACCTTTAACATCTCCTCCAGAACAGACATGAGTCTGTGGTGGATTCTTGATTTATGTAGAGGACCACAGAACTGGAAATCGATAAAGAGATAAAGATACTGACACTAATTTTGTTTTCCCTGCCGACTGTTGTCTTAATGAGTTTAGAAATGCTGCTTTAAGCAATGTTTTTTGTCTGTGAATGACCATGCTAATGCTGGAATACACACTGTCTACACATACAAAAGGCTGATAAAAACAGCGTCAGGAGGAGTATTTTGTCTTTTGTTTTTTTAAAACTAAGGTTGGCAGCTGAGTCCACTAGGGGTGGGGGGAATTTGGACTGATCAGATACTAAGTAAATGCACGGCTGGTATCGCTGATACTAGCGCTTGCATGTAATGTGACTCAAGTCTTCTGACACTCAGCGCACCCACATGGAAGTGCGCCTGACTGAGCAACGGAGAAGCCGCAAGCACCATCCCTGTGACGAAATTTAAGTAATTTGCTGCCCCCTTAGAAGAAAATCTACTGCGACAGAAGCATTAATCTTATCCCACCAGTATCTTTCGGATACTGATACTCACCCTAGTATCGGTATGCCCGCCACCCCCAGACCCAACATCTAATCAGAAATTTAAGACTGTTGTTTCCAGGGAGGAGAGGGAAAGCAAAGGGGACAGCAGAATGCTGACTGACTAGATGCAGGCAGACGAAACCCAGCATGGGGATATTTCCGCCAGCATAGATGGTTATCTACATACCAGTTACTGATAATGTGGAACATACTCAACTGTCGGTTATATAAAGTCTGATTTTAAAACGGCATTAAATGGATCTGGGGCTTGCGACTCACAGGGTTGACGGCAGAGTCGGGGTTAATCTGCAGCGTGTAGATGTCGTCTCGGGAGTACTGGAACAGGCCGTAGTAAGGGTTCAGCATCTCGTGAGACAGCAGATAGAGCCACTCCCTGCACAGAGCACGAGAGCAAGGAAAGATGAAGAGGAGGACTTAAGATACCATTTCCACCCGCAATACTGCGAAGCTAAGTATAGAGAAAAGATCCCCCCCCGCCTTAATGGTGAAGACATGGCTGGGACCAAACAGGCAAAAACTGAAGCTTGTAGGTTTTCAACCTCACCTGGCCACCCCGCCATAGTCGAGCCCCTCTTCACCCCTGAACTTCACCATTAGCCTTTTCCACAGGTCCTTTGGCCTCATCTTCATCACCTGCCGATAGGATTCCTGCAAGATGTATGGAAAATCCTCATCAGTGACGGGAAGATGATCTACAAGTGCTGGATGCTGAACCTTTCAGCTTTTGTATGGTCTCTACTACTAGTACAAAAAAGAACAAAAACGTCTGTGCCGCAATAGCAATGCAGCATATTTAACACTGACACAAATGACAAAAATGTCAACAGTTAAGCAGATATGCAAGCAAAACACAGTTTTTTCTCCCACTGCTGTGCGGCCGAGACGTCTCCGCCTCAGCCATCGTTCATCCCACGTGCGCAGGGCTCACAGTGTCAAGGGGGGAGGACTCATTTAAAGTGGATTAGGAGCAGTTATAATAAACACTGGCATAAGGCTCTAATAACAACGGCCTGTTCCGCTGCCAGGCTCCACTATGCCCTCGAGATAGAGCAGACAACCGAGGGGTGCTGAGGGAGAAATGGGAATGCCTTATCTCCGAAAAAAAAAAAAGTACACACAGAGATGGCTCTGATGGTGCTCCAGCTCAACACTTTCCTATTCAGTCATAATTTAATGCTTCTGTTGGTCTGGAGAAGCTATGCAGTTATGTCTCGCTCAACCTCTAGACGTCCTCTGCCCCCACACCCACCCCACTATCCTCCCACCCTCTTTTACGCTGAGATCAGCCAACAAAAATGTCTTCGTCCAGATTAACAGACGCGCCCGTTCCAGCACATTCCACCACATATTTTATGAGGGTCAGGCGGTCTGTTGCAGGTGGTGTTGTTCTGATGAAGGCGCTGCAACTCCTAGATGGAGGAATATGTATTATCATCCTCCCAAACAAGAGATCTGCTTTAGATTTGAAACAGTGCATTGGCACATCACATATAACCGTTTGTGAGGGGAATCGCTTTTCACGGCCAAACGGCTTTTGGCCATGACCTTTTGTTAGAGAAGGCAAGGGAAAACAGGGGAAACAAAAACCTTTAAAGAAAGCTTAAGGCATCTCGGATGAGCCCATAAATAACCCAGGTGATAGCTAACGGCTCTGCAGATAAATGATAATTAAAGATCGTGTTGCATTATTTATGAGGCATAAAAAAACAAAGGACTCGCTTAGTTAGATGTTAAGAGCTGGAGTTCAGAGAGAGAGAGAACAAAAAAGAGGACCAGGTGGTTTCACATATGCTCTAGCTGTGATAACTGAATTTCCCCACTGAGGTAAGCTATGTGACAAGACTGCACCCAGACCTTTTCACCCTCACCTCAAAGATCTCCTCGCGGGATACCTCGATGCGACAGTGGCCTGCCTGAGGCTGCTGCTGAGACAGCTCTTGACGGAGGATCTTGAGCTTCTGAACAAGGTCCCTCTTGTACTTGGGCACCGTGAGGCACTCCGCCTCCTCTGGGAGCTGACCGGGAGACACCAGAGCCTGCTGGGCCTGATCCTTCATCTGGTTCTGACGACTGAAAAAGAAGGGAGAAGGACGCACAGAGGGACAGATGACAAATATGTTGAGCAAACAAACAATAAAAGAGACGCATGAGACGAAAGCAAACTAGTGCGAGTGTAAAAACAACAAGGGGGAGAGCCAAGGACTCAAAACACGGCTCTCTATGGTCTGGGGTTTCTTTCGCTTTCCTCTGCTGTGAGCAGAGAACGAAGAGTAAACACGCTGAGGTCATCTGGGAAGCACATCAAGTCAAACAGCTGTCTGAGCCCCTCATACACACACAAACACACACACATACACACACACATGTACTGTAGATGGAGGTGGCATTAGTGAAGGTAAAACATCTCCTTCACCCCCGCAGTGACACATCTTCTCTGCTGATGGTCGAACAAACATGGCTGAGCCAAAACATCTTTAAATTTTTTTTTTCAAATATTTGTTTGCTTGTCTGCACCTGAGCTAATGCAGACTCATCAGAGGCCTCCTCTGGTACTGTCCGACAACGTCTATATAACGTAAGGTCAAAACTAAGCTAAAAGAAGATTTACCATTTGCACCACTGTGCATTCTTACTATTGGCCTGCAGGGGGCCATGAATCTGGATGAGTGGAGGGTTTGGGAAAGAACACTGCAAGACAAAAATTGAACTCTTTACCTCATTGAGTAAATTCCTGCTTATTTCATGGTCTTGGTGACCATTTCAAAATATTTTTTATACACTTTGGTGAACTTTGGCCTGATTTAAGATAAAATATAAGATACAAAGGAGTATTATTCATGATGATTCTCTTAGATTATTTTAGACAGTAGCCTACACACTTTTATCTGGGCTTCGAAAGTCCTCATAATTTCCTCTCACAGACCCCAAACCTCACTTTTATATTAACTAGAGATTGTGTACTAGCGGGCACGGTCCTCGGAGTTGTGGAACACTGCTGGCCCTTCTAGGGCGAGCTATGCCTCTGAGCAAAGGCAGCTGGGACAGGATGGGGTCGATGGGCCAGGCTCCACCTCCCCATCGCCCGTGACCCTAAACGGGACGAAGCGGCAATGGAAAATGTAGGCGTGATCAGTTCAAAAGAACACCACAAAGGTGAAGGCAGGTGTTCGGGATCTATTTTTTGGTGGGGATCACACACGTGAATGAGGAATATGTCTACTGAATGGGGTTTAGAAGGAAGCGCGCACAGGCTGGGACAGTTTGGAGGAGAGCGCACAAAAGACACACACATACAATCAAAAGACTCTTTATGGGGCCGGCACTAAAGGATTATTTCCACAGTGGCCTTTTGAACTTTTCTGGAGGGGGTTGCAGGCATGCTCACCACCCGAGCAGGATCATAAACACCACCCTGTGGGGCTGAGAAAAAGAAGGTGGTGCAAGTGTAGCAAGCAACGCTCAAAGTGCTGCCAAGGTTCAAATGATCCCTGTTATACGGACATTTATCACCCTTTTACATACATTTTTACATATATTGAGGTTTTTCCTCTTTCAGTGGGGCCAAAGCCATCAGCTGGCCTGGAGTTCATTTGGCTTAAGGCTGTTACATTAAAGCGTCCGCCCAACAGCCTGCCTACTCCCACAACGATTGCCTCTCTTTGTTGTAGTGACTGGGTCTGGTTTCTGGTGTCTGTGCAGCAGAATCCAATTTGGCCTTTCAATCACTTCCTGCTATCCCAGAGAGCCACGGGGCCCCCATAGGACGCCTGAGACCTCCGCATGAATCCCTTTTATTTCCTGCAGACTAGACTCAGTAAGAGGGAAGGCGCGAGAGGGACAGGAAGGGCAGGAAGGGCACTCTCCTGACAGCACCCAAACACAGCAGACCGCTCAGAGGGCGGGCGGGGAGGGAAGGAAGGGGAGAGGAGGCGCAGAGCATCCCTCCCTGCACTTTCGCCCATAAATCAAATGTTGCCGCTCTGTCTCTCTGGCTCTCTCTCTCCGGAGTTGCAGGCCCCATAGCTCTGTGTTCTCTTTCCAGCAGCTTGCCGATGAGCACGACTCCGGCGCGCCATACCTAAAGGCGCTCGCCGCGGAGAAAAGATGCAGTGAGAGGACCTCTTTTGACTAAACGTCTTCATTCCTCTAATGGTACCGTTCGGAGGGGAGACCCCACGGCCAGGTCTTCGGAGCTTGAGGATTGAGGGTTGAAAATGAGATCCCTGACCTGATAAAAGGCAGATGTGTCGACAGAGATCCACCGGCTCCGATTTATTCTCCAGACTTTAGTCGCACACTCTCCAAAGTTTCTAAACTGAAAGGTCAACATAATATATTGCACGGCTAATGTAAACGGAATTAAACAAAACCTTCTGAAGCCTTTAAAACCCTCCCGTTTATATCCACTCCATCATCGCATCATGTTGCGTGCGATTCCAAAAGTCTATCCACGAATGCCACTTTCACACATCAGGGAAAATAAAAACAAATACGCCGCACAAAGCTGCACGTCTGACTATTTTCAGGGGGCGATTGTGGGGGGGGGGGGGGGGCAAAACAAAATCCAAAACATGTTCTTTGATCCATCAGCACAGGAAAGAAAGAAACCCGATCCAACTGCAATGCATTCCGTCTCTCTCTGCGCCGAGCAGGAATGAGGTCAGGCGGGGTGGGGGGTGGAGGGGGGAGCACCTAGACTCCCATGCACTTCTTCATCTCTGTGGAGCGGGGACCTATGTGCAGCTCTGCTGCTATTGCCGCGCAGTGTGTGTGTTTGAACAGCTGCACGGGGGAGAAGGAACTTCGAGCGTGTGCATCCGTGCGCGCAGGCATGTGCCGAGCATAAAACCAACAAGCGCAAACTCCCACACGCACGCACGCACAGGCAGGGTTCATTCATCGACTTGGGCACTGGATCCATTCTCGGTTGGCCCTCGGAAGCCGCAGATGCACCAGCCTCGGTTTTCACTCGGCTCTCTGAAGTCTGGCCAAGGACAGCTTTGTGACTGATTGTGTGCTAAAATGCCTTCGAGATTAAAACCTCGAAGCTGGGGAGAGCTGGGGAATGGCTGAAATGTTGTGTGGAGGGGAAAGACGCGGGGGAGTGAACCATGTATGCATTTCTGTGTGCGTGTGTGTGTGTGTTTTCTTGCAGACGCTTGCTCAGAGTTTAGCTGAGTGTCGGGCCTCCACAGGTGGTGGACACACTTTGGCAAAGTATCCCAGTGTAAAACATTGACTGAGGGGGAGGCGAAGCAACTAAGAGTGTGAATGATGTCCAACTGTGGGTGTTCCTGTCTGTGTGGAAAGCCCAGCGTAGGCACGAAGCCCAAACCTTACCTGACGTTTTGGCTTTCGATGCCTCCTCGAGAACCATTTGGGCTCGGGCTGCAGACACAGACACACACACGCAACAAAGGCATTTAAAAATTTTTTTTAAAGGAAAAAATCCAACCATTTAATAGTTCTAGTTTCATTGAGCTGTTCTCACTTTAAGACCAGATGCAGGTTAGCGGAGAGGCGGGGGTCGGTGAACTGCGTGGTGCGGTTGTTGTGGTCGACGAAGTACACCCTCCCCGTGGCGGTGTTCCGAATCTCCCAGCCCGGCGGTAGAGGACCTAGTTCCTCGCAGTTCACATTACTCAGGTCTCTGAGTTGCAACAGAGAAAAAAGACACGCACGCGATAAAGTACGGGGATGTAAGAATATATGGAAAAACAGAGGCAGAGGAGGGTGGGACGGGGGGGTGGGGGGGTGGAGATAGACAAGGCTCACGCTTCAAACTGCAGTTATAGAACATACCAAAGTCCTGACTAACTGGACAGCGAGATTCGGAGATGTCTGAGAAACCGCTTTTATTCTATTTTTTCTCTTTCCTCCCATCTAAATTATTTACTACTGCCCTGCAACCATTTTCAGCTCAGCTCTGCCGAGACCGAGGGCTTCAGAAAATCCTGCAGGCTTGTTACAATGGTGCTAAGTTTTTCCTTTTCTTTTCTCAGGGATCAAAGCCAAAAGGACCAGAATCTTGCTATTTCTGAGAGACTCGGTAGGGCGTGGCACTGCCATTAGCTTCTGTCTATGGCAATAAAAACGTCCTGCGTCTCATATGCTTTTAGGGCTGTGATGAAGATCCGTCAGGTTTTGTTGACAGAGAAATGAGGCCTGCTTTTGCAAAGAATGTGCAGGTAAAATCCAGGTGCATGCTTCTGGAACACGGTGGTCAACAGGACACATTAGCACCTCAGGTAGGCAGGCCTTTTGTGGTTTGTGTTGGACCGAAATACACTCAGGGTGCGGTAATATGTGGCTTCTCGCTCCATATTAGACTCGCAACCAGCGGACCAGGAATTAGCCTTGCCTTGACACAGTCCATGTACAGAGTCAGCAAATTCAGGAAGACTCTGAAGACCCCAGAAAATGGATTCCATACACATTTTTCATTTGGTTTTATGGGCTGGCTCACAAAAAAGATCACTGCAGGGAACGATAACATATTGAGAAACATTGTAACCAAAGCATTTCCCAGCAATATGCAACACTTAAAAAGTGAGAATGAAGTAAACCCACAGGTGCCACTTCTTCCTCCTATTGCATCCTATGCTTTGACATAACATTGCAGTGACATGTAATGTTTCTAGTCTCTCTTAATAAAAAAAAGAAGAGTCATGTTCATTTTTTCCAGTGCTCAGTCTTGCTTTTCCACAGGATCAATGGAATCCAATTAAACTTAAAAAATTATGGTCAAACCAAGATGGACCACAGTGATGGCTATGGTAATATTTCCAGCCAAAATTATGGCAATAAATACCTAAATATGAAAATATAAAGAGTATTGATTCTTTTTTGTTCCTACTTTTGTAAGGAGAACTGGAAGAGAATAGCATGACAAAAACAAACAACAGAATTATAAAAAACGATGATATATTCCGATATGAAGTCTTCATCGATTGTTTGGTCAGAACATACCTGGGCACCCTGGGGTCGTGCCATGTGCTGACACCTGTCTGAGTATGGAGGAAGTACACTTGGCCTTGCTGTGTCGTTCTTTGCTCTGAAAGGAGAAAGAAAAATAGCAATAAGGCGGGGGGGGGGGGGGGGTTAAACGCCTTTCCTCAACCTTGGCACAGGGTGTGCCGACTGTAAAACCATTGAAATATATTTTAAGTTTAATTCATGGGCCACGTGTAGACAGAGTGTGCTCAATCTGTCTACGTAGGAGAGTGATCAGACAGATGGAGATGAAAGGACTGCTTGACTCAGTGGAGTTCCCAAAAGAGAGCCAGGAAGAGGCAGAGGAGGGAGGAGGTGAGAGACAGGGTGAGGAACACTGGAGGGGAAGAGAGGGGAGACGTGGTGTAGTGGTGGTGGATGTCTGATTTTTTAAAATCTGTTGGTGAGCTCATTCGTCACGGTCTGACAGATATTTCCACAGGGATCCTTTCCAGAGAGCCTGTCGCTGGCATCTCTTTGGGTCCACCACCCGCTATCAAAAGCAGGTCCCGCGGATGAGCGCCCCGTGTGCTCGAACAAGCAGGGCGACGTCTGGGCCTCGTGTCAGAGCTGCTGAAACGCTTTGCCCCCTCAGACTGAGAACACCCGGCCTCACTGGCTTCAGAATGTTGGTGAAATGACTAATTGGTTTCCTTCAGAACACAGGTGCCTTTTCCATCAATGTTCCTTTACTGCTTTCCATTCGCATGTCAAAAACAACAGAGGGCCGGGACATTCACGTGGTGTTTGGGATGAACATGGGGGGGGGGGGGGGGGACAGAGACGAGTAAAAATCCTACGAAACGTTCCATTTCCTGGTCCGGGTGTGTCGTGTGGCGCAAAGAAAGTATTGGCGTCTCATCTAAGTGTTGGATCAACTCTCCAACAAATTGTTTGGCTTGCTCATCAATTCTGCAGAAAATGTGTTCACTAGAAAAAAAGTACAAAGTAAAGGACGCCAAGAAACCAAAACGAGAGGGTAGGAGCCTCCTAATCTGTAGGACCGATGGCATAGGCTGCGATACACTTCTCTGGCTCCTAAATCCCCCAACAGATTTTACTGTGAGGATAAACAAAACTCCCTTGGGCTGTGAGGATGGATTGCATGAATGCCACTGATTGTTTGACCGTGTGCAGGGGGAAAAAAATTAAAAAAGGAGGGGGGGGGGGGGTGCGTAGAGTGGTGCCGCCAGCTTTCAACAGCGAGATCAATTCAATTAGATTGTCTAAAATGGAGCCAGTCTTTCAGGCTGCTTGTGAGCGGCACCAACGGAGAGGAGCTGCTCTGAATGAGGACACAGATTTGCCGGGTTACTGGAGCCAGTGTTGAGCCGACAGGTGGGCAGAGGCAACAGCAACCGACGCGACCGCATATCAATGACGACATGATTTATTGGGGAATAAGGGGGGCTTTCATAGCAGCTTTAACATGTGTGTTATTTGTTTTTTGAAAATTCCCTGCTTTTGTGTATCCCTTATTGAAAAAAACAAAAACACAGATCCGACAACTCCTTTCCTTAAAATTGATGCAAATTTGTGACTTTTCTTTTTTTCACGGTCGCTCTCGGGGCTGCTTACCGTATCCCTCGGGCAGGTCCGGGTGCGTGTGGAGGTGGGTTCTGCTCATGTAGTTGCGGTGCCTCTGCGACCGGACCCGTCTCTCTTGGGCCCGCTGGTCGCCGTCGCTGGGCGGCAACGCCGTGGTGGGCGTGGCGCCGTTGGTGCTGATTGGTGTGTTCTCGTCCACGATGCAGCTGAGCGGCCGGCCGGGGCTGGAGTACTCTGAGGCGGGCCTGAGGTGGGGGGCGAGTCAGGAGAGAAGAAAGGAGTGAGTGAGCTATTGACGTGGGGAGGGGGAAAGATGATCAAGCTCTAGTCAAGGAGAGACATGTAGCGAAACATCAGGGTGAGCGTGTTTAGTAGTGAGTGAGAATACAGCAGACAGCCAAAGGAAACACAAGCAGATGCCTCCTCCACACTTGTCTGCCTCTTCCACATCACTAAACCTCCCTGTCTGAAGCAATCACACACGTTTCTTTTATTTATTTATCTTTTTAAAGCCCTCTGCAGTTTTTTCCCCATCCATTTGGGAGCAGTGAGGTCAATGATAAATTTCAAATTTTTTTCCAGATTTTTTTTTCTCGTCTACCTCCTGCTGTTTAACGTGAGAAGTCTGGGCTCGGGTTTCTGTGGGCTCACCTGGTAGGCCTCTCCCACTGTGTGGTGCGTGTGATGTGGTTCAGGTACTGGATTCGTCCGGACGCGGTCCTCCTCTCCTCCCACCTGGCAGCGGACAGAGACGGGATTATTTCTACATCTCCGCGGGCGGCTCTTTGCTGAGGTGCTGTTGGGGACTTCCACCACCGACTCACCCGTCTGGAAGGTCGTTGTCGAACAGCCGACTGCAGTCCACCACGGGACCTCCTGTGCCTATGCGGTCCCTCGACTGTAGGCTCACTGCAGAAACACATGGCAGACAGATGCACGCGCTAGTATTACTAGACAGCAGATCACAGCCGGGGCACAGATATTTTATCGAAAACACAAAGTGGAGCTATATATCTTTATGAGGAACAGGAAAAGGACTCAGTTTTATCAGAGGCTTACTGGAGGGTCTGGTTAAATGAAACAAACTTATATTTAGTTTCACCGTCTTTAGCTTTTCTTTTTTTTTTTTTGCCCCGAGTCTGCGAGGATGTTCTTTGAACAGAAACGGACTGCGCTTGACTTGATATCACACTCATTGTTGACCTGTGTATTAATATGCAAATACTCACCTACAATCTGTCCCCTCACTGTGTCACTGTCATTGGGGCTCAGCTTGTTCAAGTCAAGTCTCTGGTCTGTTCAATGAAGGGGGAAAAAAGAGGAGAGATGAAAGAAAGCGTAAAAATGGAGAGAGAGAGAGAGAAGAACACAGCTCATCGTGTGAGAAAGCTGCATGTAAACCAGCTTGTCTTTGGACCGTTTTCCCCCACTCTTGGAAGAGTCCCATAGCTCTGTATCATTTACATCACTCAGAGTCAGTTCCTCTCTCCCTCATTATCTGTCTCTCATTCCTCTGTCTGCAGACCGCAGCTTGGCTGTGCCCTGGAACAGATGGTCTGGTCTGTGGAACAGCCACGGGCTGTAAAAATCTCACTGAGCATCGGTACAGAGCAGGCTTCAGTTCAAATGCAGGGGTCAAACATTTGACAAATTTCAGTACAAAGCCGGCACTATTCCGCTCAGTCTTAGCGTGGACACGAACTTCTGCCAAAGTCTGGAAACTCTTTGTCTGAACTTCTTAAAAGTCTGAGGAATTTGAAAGTGAGGGAGAAAGAGAGGGATCAGAAAGGAACTGAGAAAAAAAAAAAAAAAAGGAGCAAAAAAATGTCCGAGCTGCCTGCAGACATGAGAAATCCTGCTATCTGCCGTCTCTTGTCTGGGTGTCATGCAGATCAGCTAAGGATGTCTGTCTAGACTAAACCAAGAGCAAAAACAGGCAACGGTCAAAGCATGACAAGCCCGACGGAGGTCACAAGCCACAGAGAAAACACAAAACACAAACAAGTGCAAAAAAGAAAAAAAAAAGGCTGCACTCAAATGTATAAAATACATAAATATATGCAGGGTCATATAGACCAAAAAAAAAAACATTAACACTATGCAATTACACGTAAAAGTTACAGTCTGGAAAAGATACTCTGCAATTATAGAAAAATGTTGGAGCCAACTCAGCATCCTCTCAATGGCTTGTGGAGGGGACAAAATGGCAACTGCTGGTGAACGCAGACAAAAAATTTCAAAGAAAAAATAAAAGCGAGAGAGAGAGAATGACAAAGACCACAACAGAGAAAACGCTACAAATCTACGCTTGCACTCAAATAGCAGTACAATTATGCATGTCTGCGTGAAATGACCGGTTGTCTAGATCGGCAGACGGAGATAGAGAGGTTAGTCACGGTGGCAGTTCGTTCGTGTCCGTGTGTGTGTGAGTGTGTGTGTGTGGAGGAGGCCGAAGGGGAAACCAAAAGGGGTGAGGAGGAGGCCGAGGAGGAGTAAAAAAAAAAAACTAAACGGAAACGCAGAAGCAAACCACTCGCAGCTGTGGCACAAACTTTAGGTTTCCTGTCGCTCAGGGGGAAACGACAGTGTCAGGAACTTCTAGGAAAAGAGGTGGGACTGCTTCCCCGGCTAGCCGCGCAGACCAGGCCGCAGCCTAAACGGCCCGGTGCTGCGTTTACTGGCCTGCGTGTCATTTATTTGGCTAGTTTCTGACAGGACATGTTTTTCCTGCAATTGCAGGCTGATGCTGATTGGCTCTTCCTGTTCTGGAAGGGGCAGAGGGGCTCTGACCCCCCCCCCCCCCTCTGGTTCTGCCTTCTGTCAGACCATTTAAAACCTATTTGGGTAAGTATCGGGTTTGTTCAGATGCCAGTTCCAATTCCATATTTTTCTGATAGTTCCAAGTTATGGTGTCTGCTATCTAAAATAAGTGGCCCTTTTCAGTGGGTAGTCCTGAAAATGAAAGAAGTCCAGCTCTAGACATTAGCAGGTGATTTCATGTCTCGTCACAGATTCTAAAGCTCGGGCCACCCTGTGTGGGATTTTGGAAGTCAAACCAGTGGCAGTGACTGGTGGGGAAAGTTTAGAAGATCCAACCCGAAACGATAAAGTCTGAGTCGAGCTGGAAGGATTCAGCAGCCATTGAATCGCACAGTCTGCTACGTCAACGGGATGTTAAAAAAACATAATTTTTCTTTTTCTTTTTTTTGGATGCTGCCTTTACCTTTCTTTGGGGGGTGCTCGTTACTAACTGGTTATGGTCGTGGCGTGCAGTCCTAATTGTAAACGGTAAAATCTTTACAACTGTGAGGGCTGTCGCAATGCAACTTCTTCTAAAAAAAAAAAAAAAAGGAAAAAGAAAAAGAAAAAAAGATTCCTTTAAGTCAGTTTTTAGCCTCTTGGCTGAAGAGAAGGGACGCCTGCGCTTTCACACTTAGGGAGGGGAACTTTGTAAAACTGACCCCAGAATGCTGCAGGAAATGGTATACTCCAAGAAAAGATCTGTGTCTGTGTTTTTTTCTCGCTAATGTGCAGCGTTTACTTTGAATCCTTCCACCAGTGGCCAGCCAGAGGTGGCCGGGCAGTCGCGGCGCCACTTACAGCCCGTGTCTTTAAGGCGGTTAATTGCGTTGGACAGGAGACGGATGCAGCCCAGGAAGCCGGCCCCTTGCTTCTTATGAATCTTCTTGTGGTTCCACACGCTGATGGTGATGGAGTCCGATTTTCCGATGTACCTGAGGAGATAAAGTGAGGAAGAAAAATGCTTCACAGTCGGCCACAGGAGACAAACGAACAGCTGATGTGCCGAAGGGATGCCAAATGTATGTCGGTCAGGATGTCCGAGGCTCCACAGGACACACACACACACACAATTGCACAACAGAGGACGCTACAAAGTTCCCCAGTCAAGGACACGCTACAAGATACACTTGAGACATGGAGGTGGAAGAGGAAGAGGAAGGTGGGGCGGCTCAGAGGGATTTTCCAGCTGGACTGTGTGCGTGTGCGAGTCTGAAACTCTGACCCTGAGCCACAGAGTAAGTGACAGAGGACTACAAGCAAATTGTGACCCTTTTAAGCATTTATAATATTCACGCAGAACCTTTGAGGTAAAGCAGGAAAATACTGTAGGAAGAAAGATAACAGGGGTTTAACTTTTTTGTCAAGTGGAAAATGTAACTGAGGGGTAGGGCTTAATAAGCTTATGCTTCATCCTACTCCTTTTTGAAACATGATGCATGTTTATGTTTTATGAAGGAAAGTCGGCCATTTTGCCCTAAATGAAACAGACTCTCCTGTGGATATAGTCAGCCATAAAGAGTTAAAACGTGCAGTCAAATGTGGGCCATTCCGGGCTGTTTTCCCTCCATGGGGAAGTGCTTTGGTTTTACGGACCAGCCGGTCCACAGTTCTTTAGATGTGGCGGGGGCGATCAGATACCCAATGTGCCAACTCAATCAAAAATAATAAGGAACTTCATTAGCAATTAAAGTTACGTAAGGAAAGTCATTCCCACGGTGTTACAAACCAAATGATCTTTAAGCTGCCCCCAGACACTCGGCACGTACAGCGGGCATCATGTTGACCATTTTTGGCTTATTGTGCTCTCATTTGTTGCTTGGCTAAACACAGCATAAATGAGGGCCGATTGGAATGTAATTAGTTTTACAAGTTAAGTTGGGGGGGAAAAAAGAAATAAAGATAGACATGCTGAGCAGGAAACTTGTTGGTAACGTTCTTGTGGGGTGATCCCCAGCGGAGCATGAACTCGTAGGCCCAGTCTTAAGGGCTAAAGCAAACATTTCCCCCAAATATGGCCATTCTGTTACCGACTCTTTGCCTGTGTGGACACCAAGCGACCTACTGACAAACACTGGCAGTAACTGGAGAAAAGACTTGTTAGGTACAGCTTGGTAATTCAGTTTCAAACAGGCGATTTAATACAAGTTGTGAAAGTCCAGTTATTTCCAAGCTGTCCCATCTGTTGTCTCAGTGCCGCTCTCTTCGCCGGGGTCGCAATAAAAAACGCTGCGTGTGAACTTGTTGCGGCGCATCTGCCCGGGTGGGCTCCCCTCGTTCGACCCAAAAGCCAATCGTCTCGAGGGTTTTCGCAAAACTGCATCCCACTGTAATTACGCTGCTGCTTACCAAAAGGGATATGAAACAATGGGGCTATGAGTAAGACGTCTGGACATTTTGACTCGATGCCAAATGCCTGTCTGGGGTGCGATGTGAGAGAGCTGCTATGTCAGACAGACGTGACGGGGAGGGAGGTATTATAACCAAACCCCAGTCATCTGGATCAACCTCCACGTAATAAAATTCATTAGTCTGGATAAGATTTTTAAAGCAGTCGTAAGAAAAGAACGAAAAAAAAATGACACGTACACCCAACCCGCTAAGAGGACAGTGGGTAAACTGAAACGAAACAGAAAAAAGCAGCAGATTCAAAAAGTTTGAGGACTCTTTTAAAAATATTCCTTACATGGATTTAGTAAGATTAAACTTTTTAGATACATTGTAAAAGTCTGATCTTAGACATAATTTTTTCTTTTTTTTGTTGCATGCATACTGTTAACTGATGGTAAACAGAGAGAACCAGCTGGAAGCTAAAAAAAGCAGGCAACAATTTCTGGTTGTTGACAAAAAAAAAGGGTGAAAATGGCCTGCGAGCAGCAGCAACTTAGAACCAAAAAAAACTGCTAAAACAGAAAGAGAAACCAAAGCAGCAGCCTTTTAAACCGGTAATACAATTAGGCCAAATTTACCTGCAGAATACATCCGTTTGTGTGTCTGGGTGTTCTTTTAAAATTCAAATCAGCTAACGTAAATTTGAATGGTCCTCTGATCTAAACATTGGAGTCAAATTATTGCAGCCTGGATCAGAATAAAAACACTCCATTCTGAGCATGCAAGAGGTGACAGTAGGGAGAAAAAATTAACTAACACAAAGGAAACGCAGCACCAGTAAGAATAGCCATTTCAGGCCATTTAAGAAGCTGCATTACTCAGCAGACACACATGCATGTTACTGCACACAGGGGGGAAAAAATGAAGAGAAAATAACTTCTTTGATGCTGTTAAAGACCAAAAAAAGAAGAAGAAAAAAAGCATCTCCCAGCAGTGCAGAGGCAGCCCAAATGTTTGTGGCAGAGACGTGAGTTTGGATGGAAAGCAGACAGCAGGAAGGAAACGGGGATTATGGGTCACACAAACACATACAAACACACACACACTCACACACAGACATATATTTTGATGAACATGGATTTTTCTGTGCATTTTCTGCCCATCGTCCTCATGCAAAAGTGGTTTTTGGCTTCTGAAAGAGAACATTTTTGAAAATTCTGGCCAGAGTGAAGATATTTAAAAACTCTGGTTGTCATGTGGACGGCGTGGGATGTTTTTTTCATATTTCTTTTTCCTGAGCTTGTCACATAAGATTATGCACCGCAGATAGAGAACCAGCACAAAAAGTCTGGGCTTTTGGGACGGGTTGTGATCAAACTCGAAAATGACGTGGCTGTTGCTGCGGAGGAACAACAGCCTCCTCTGTTCAGCAAGCTGCTTAGGAAGATGTTGTGGGAGAATTTCCCCGCACGCTGGACTGTTTAGTGAGTGAGTTGAGGTCAACAGGCCTTTTGGATTGTCAGGAAGAGTGGTTTGGACTTTAAAGAAGCACGGGTGAACAAACCGTGTCCTGCATAGTCCACATCTGGGAAATCTGTCGCCGAGGGACTTTGTTTCATTCCACTAGTTTTTTTACTTTCTACTAGGGCTGCAACTAACGACTATTTTAATAGTCGACTAGTCACCGACTATTGAAACGATTAGTCGACTAATCGAATAGTTATTCACTTTTTCTTAAAAATAGCATAAAGTTGCTTTAGTTAAGTGGAAAATGATAAACACAAGAAAAATGGGTACTTCAATGAAAAATGCATCTTTTATTCAACTTTGCAGCTGATACAAAACGTAAATAAGAATGCGTTTGTCAGGCACAGTCAGGCATAACGTTAAAGCTCTCTTTTAAAGTGAAAAAACGCTTAGAAAATGTATAACGTACATAAAAGACAAAACATATTAGCATTATTGTTGCTTAAATCTTACCGAGGCGAGTCAGACTCCGTTTTATTTAAGTGCCCAACATGCTTTCTTTTTAAATGCTCATGCATCACCGAGGTGCTGCCGTGATACGCAAGGTCTGTTTTGCAAACCTTGCACGTCATTTTTTTACTCGTTGTATCAAGGATAAAATGCTCCCAAACTTTGGAAGTTTTTGTACGCGTGTTGGACGCCGCCATTTCTGTAAGCGCGACGCTGTTGTGCAGGTGACTCTGGGCAGATCGTAATTAAGTGAGATGTCTCACTCTGTTGGAAAAACACGTCTGGCGACAATAGTCGACAATGGAATTCATTGTCGACTTTTTCTATTATCGATTTTTGTCGACAACGTCGACGAATCGTTGCAGCCCTACTTTCTACGAAGGATTTACTTATTTGCTCATTTAAAATGCTTCGTAAAAGTAGCCTTTTCCTTTTTAAATGGCTAAAGGTAAGAGGTGGAATACACAATGCCCAGTATAATCATCTGTTATAGCTAATCATCTGTATGTGAAAAAATCTTTGCTCTTCTATTTGATACTTTTCCAGCCAATTAAGTGCAACTTATTGACAACTATAGTAATCTTGCAAGGTCAGAACAGCTTTAGTTCAAATGGTTGTTCCTTTTTTGGGATCACAGTTCAAATGATGTGAGTATATAACAGTTGGATGAGGTACTTAAGCCTGTAGAAGTATCGTTTAGTAATACTGCATCTAAAGGGCTCTTAATTAGCTTGATGGAAGTGTACACTCACTATGAGACACTCACAAAGAGATGGCCCCCGGATGAAAAGTATTTAGTTCCGAATAACTCCCGTGTCCTTGTCCTCTACATATTGATGAATGGGAGTTGTCTTCCTGCCCAGATTTAGTTAATCTCAACCATATCCTGTAGCTCTTAGTGATTCATTTTACAAACTCGAGACACGAGCAGCGAGTGTGAGAGGCAGGCAGCCACACAGTCTGCGTCTACTATCCTTGGCAAGCCGGCCACATCCTGCAACAAAGCTGAAGGGTCACAGTTCATGGGCCAGTTTGCTGGCCATGAAACCACAGGCACGGACATGCTTGCAAACACACAGGCACTCTTAGAATTTCTACATCTTCACACAGCAACAAATGGAACAAAATAAATCCACTGGCTTTAACATTGGCCTGCATTCAGAACACCATGTGTGTGAGGCCCTGGTTTAATAAGTGTCAGGAATAAACAGTGGCGCTTGAAAGTTTTCTTTATATGTTTCTATATTTCTGCACAACTCCTACAAGTTGATAAAGAGCTCAATTAAACCAACGAGACAAAAATATTATACTTGGCCATTAAATTATTGAGGAAATTGAAACAAATTTACATATTTGTGATTGGTAAAAGTGTATGAACCTAGGAGATTTCAAATAATTAGAGTCAATTGTCTTCAATCAGTGGGATGTGCAAGTAAAATAGAACTGTTTGGTTTAAAAAACGCTGCTTTCCAGCGTAAGAATTTTACCTCATCTTACCTCATTACCACTATGATACTACCACCACCAAACATGCTGGTATTACACATGTAATACTGGATAATTTAAGTATGAACAAACAACCAAAACATAATGTTTTTGTCTCGTTTATATAACTGGGTTCTGTTTATCCCCTGTTAGGACATCGGATGGTCTCTCAAGTCAAATTTCTGCAGAAATGTTTGAAGGGCCTAAAACCTTTTAAGCACCTTTGCAGCGAGGTCGCTCTCAGGCAATTAAAAACCCGCCGCTCCAACACACCAACTGAGAGTGCTTCGGCCGGCCATCAAAGTAAACACGGACAGTAAAACGGGGCTGATAAACACATCAGTGGCGCGGGAAAACACCAGTCATTTCCACATGAATTCCAGTCAACTCTATATGCCGGCTCTCGGGACGAATTGGAGCAGGGAAGTTCCACTGAGCCGCGGGGTGTGTGTGTGTATGTGTGTGTATGTATATGTGTGTGCTCTGTCCTCTCTGCCGCATTATCCCCCCCAACAACACTGTCAAATGTGACACAAGTGGCTAATTTAGAGGCTGTGTAGAGCGAGGGTCTTGTATCCATGGCGACCAAACAAACGGAGACACGTGCTTCCTACCGCTGTTGGATACGAGCGGCGGCTTGGATAAACACCGCGCCACTAACTGGAAACTTTCACTCTCACATTTTCACTCACACGCTCTGGCCGCAGTTTTTTCCAGGTTGCTTTCACGGGGACGCGCCATCTTTGGGAAAATCAGGGTGCAACAAGACATGCACGTGTTTCAGGCAGTGGAAGAAAATACTATTTGGAGGAGATGATCCCCCCCCACACTACACACACACAAACACATCTCCCTCCCTCCACTTCTCTGATTCCCTAAACGCTGCTCCGGGGGAACGTTTTTAGACTGAGTTGTTATGTCATTGTAGAGCCTTTAAATACTGAGAGGCCAAATGTAAGAGCTGCATTCATCTGTTACTGTTTAGATCCTGTTAATGGCAAAGCCTGACATGCATGAAGGTTAAGTAAAGAGAGGCGTACGGAATGTGAGGCACAAACCAACAGGGCCTTGTCTTGCATGTCCAAAAACAGATACGGGAGACCTCTTAATAATGCGTCTGGACTCACAGGTCGTAGTGCTGGTTCCACTTTGGGTCCAGCGTGTTCCTCACAGTGTCTGTAGAGTGGCATTGTCCGGAGCCGTCCACCACAACCTTGGCAAAAGGGTCAGGGAGGCCTGAGGGGAAAGAATGAAGTGTCCGAACGTTAACGTCGCAAGCCATAAATAACAAAACTACATCCACATGGGTGATGAAACACAGGATAACTTATTTGTCAAAAATGATTTAAATCCGTTCTATATTCAGAGCCATTTCTATATCCACTGGTGTATATTTAACCATATGACAATGTGCAATGGGGAAAAAAAATCTGGATTTTATTAGAGCAAAGCATTAGTTTGTAAATGCACATGTAACGGATGAACATTCCCTCATTCTACGTGGCAAACAGAAGCGACTCAGGCCCGCATCGCTGTGTCCTCACAGGCCTCAAACCGGTGTGACCGAGTCAGTTAGACCACACAGTTCTGTGAAACTGGCTTGATGTGTGTAAGCACAGCCCGGGGCTGGTAGGTTTAGTTTCTGTTACTGTCTCCCTTTCCGGCTCCATGTTCCATCAGAGGACAATCAGGGCTTGCCGGTGAAGAAATATGTAAAAAGAAGCTAGACTGCGTTACAATGTGATTTTCAGGCAGCTGACAAAACAAACTGAAGAACAGAGGAATGAGAGCAGCTTCAATAGGGAATTTAGTTGTAACAATATAGACTTTTTTGGGACAAATGGGCTTAAGGACAATTTAAAACTCACTCTGGCTTTATCAGAATATTTTTACTACGTTATTTTACTTATCTACATTCTTACTGCTACTCCCCACCAGCTTTAGGCGTGAGTATTTGCTCAGCTCCTGAGCAGTGGAATGGCAGGAATGGGCACCACAGAAACCACCCAGATGAACCGAGGATCTTTACATGATCCTTCGCCAATACAGCTTGACCCAAACGAACAAAAGAACCCCAAAAACACACAATTACCGAGATTCATGAGCAGCGGTGCAAGAAAAGTTTTTGAATAGGAAACAGAACTTTAAGGGGAATCTGTACACCGAGAATGAAGCATGAAGTTATGAGACGATGTAAGTCCATATTCCACTTCTCAATGGTAGAAAACGACCAAATATGTACATTCTAATGGACTGCCGGGCCTCCCAACCTGATACTCCTCAAGTTCAAGAGGCTCTTACAGAGTCTGCGTTACATCCCACAAATCTATGTAAAGACAAACACACACAGGTTCATGAACAACAGCTGCGGCTGGCAGATACTTACGGAAGAAGTCCTTCTTCACAAGATTTTTGGCACACAGGACTGGAAAAGAAAGGGAAAATTCTTCATTAAAACACAGCAATTCCACAGACAGCGCAGAGCGACTTTATGGTGAACATTCTTGAGACGGAGAGCCGGCTTGCAGGACGAAATTTTGCAACAAAAGAACAAAAAATGGACAAGACATTTCAAACTTCTGATAAACCTGAGAGTATTTAAATACCTTTGTGCTTTTTAATACAGATCAAGGAAAGCAACACTGGAGTACCAGAGTTAAAGTTTTACCGCAGCTAACACAGCTATCTTAAAGATAAATTGGTTTGAATCAAATGAAAAGAAAAGCCATATTGCATCCCTTATTAAAACAATCTGCCTTAAAGCCGGAGGAGGGGATGTTTAGTCTCCTGTTCTTATTCAAAACCAGTCGGCCATCAGCAAATCACAATCCGGCTGCTCTGCATTAAGAGATGTGGAGGTGGTTGCTGAGGCGACGAGGCAAAGCCACTTAAACCCTCCTGTGCAAAGTATGGATGGATGAGGAAGCTCAGAAACCACCTGGGTGTCTGGAGCTCAGAGTAACCGCCAGTGAGTCAGGCACATGGAAACCGTTCAGTGCTTTCTCTCTCTCCCTCCTTTAAAAAAAATCTGCAATAAAGTCCCTCTGAGGAACAGCCACTAAGTGGTCTGGATATCGATGTGGCTCGCTCACTGGTCTGAGGAGGGACGACGCATTAGGGAAGCAACAACGCAAACCTAAAGCAGCGAGGGTGTGGTTATGTTTCATTTCAGTCACTGGAAGCTGTGAGAGAAAACAGGAGAAGCTGTGCCAAGAGAAGAAAAAACGTTAAAAAAAAAAAAAAAAAAAAAAGCTTGGCTGTTGCAGAGCATTTGATCAAGCTGAAGTCGAAACATCTGCTCGCCAACATTCGGAACAGCAGCTGGAATGATTCAAAGCAAGACCACAGCGAGACACAATATTGATGACCTCATCGCTGCCATTCCATTATTTTGTTCAATGAAGTCTGCATGATGTCGTGCACATGTTGCTGCCCAGCTTCCCCTCTGAGGCGCACGGGCCCGTTCTCAGGCCGTGACTGCGTGCTTTGCACTGATAAAGCGCGCTCGGATTATTCTGAAAGTCCACACCTCCTCCGGTCTGCCCAGAAAAACACACGGCAACGGCTATTGTCGGTGATGACTAATGGCCCGATTAAGTGGTGTCAGACCGGATGCGTGAACCTAACACTTTGGTTTGGCCTGTGAGGTCCGTTCACATGCAGGTTAGCGTGGTCCCACTTTGCCGATATAAATAGACCTGAGGCACACCCATGGTGGCGGAGAGCAGCCTGAGCTGCTCAGTCATCGGCCGCTGTCGCTTCCTCCGGCCCGCCGCTCCGTGCCGCGCATACGCAGACGTGCACAGCATGTCAGGTGTCACTCTGAATCACTCTGGCCCGGGGGCTGAACCGGTTTGGCCCGCATGCCTTTGAAGTGTCGTGTCGGCAGAACACACAACACGCTGCTTCCTGCACCCACATTTACACACGCGTGGTGTTTACAGACACACAAAGGGGGTGTGAGATTAAGTAGCCGGAGGGAGGAGGGGGGCGGGGGGGGTTTGGGGGGACGGCCGAGTCGGGGTGCAGAGAACATGTTGCATAGATGAGGAAGAGCTTCTTTCCACAAACATCCCTGGGAATGTGTTGAGCTCCAGTGAAACCCACCTCATTTCTAAAACATCTGGTATGCATAACTATTGGTCGCATTCTTGGTCGAACACGGAGGCAAGCACGTGCACTTCCACACACACACGCACACACACTCACACACACACACAGAGTCAGGCCCCTTAGCCACCTCACTCTCCACTCCAACTCTACCTTCAGTGATCCAATTAATTATTAACAAGCCCAGGAGGATGTGCCACAAACAGGCCGGTGTGCCGGTGGGAGTCTTTCAGGGTGGTGAAAACTGTGGACGTTTTGGAAAAGGTGGACGTCTTTGTTCCACAAAACATTGGTGGCTTTGAGACATTAAGAATGGTCAGGGTCAACGGTCACAAAACCGTACCATCAACGACAATGGGGGAGTGAGGGCTCTGGGGAATGAACACGGACACTTAATAGACGGCCTAAAAAGGAGCCGAAGCCAAGCGTTTAGCTAAAGCTGTGGAAAAAATGCAGACCCTCCTGTGAGTACATTAGCAGCCCTCAGCTAGCCACCACAGCAGGACAGCAACGCTACAATCATAACCCAAACAAACTCCTTATGAGAGCGCGCGAGGGCCGGGATTACAACGGACAACAGGGAAAAATACTCGCGGAGACAATGGTTTCACAGCATGACAGGTGCTTCCAAACAGACTCGAAGGCGGGTGATTTAATTCCCCGAGGTGAATATTTCCACACTGTTACCGCAATTTCATGACTGAATGACATCGTCGGCCGTCTCCTTGAGCTCCTTCCAGAAAGTCAGAGGCTGAAAAGTGCTGCGAAGCTTAATGAAGACGTAGAACAACACATCCACGTTCTATATTTGAGGGGGGGTAGGCTTTTTAACTGTATGAAGGCGAGCTGATCTGAATGGGTGCTATTCAAAAAAACTGACCCAAAGCATCATAAAGAACTTTTTTTATTGGTCACCCAGGACTACACTGACCAATTCAAAAATCTATTCCCCCCTCCCTTTCCCCTTTCTGTGCTCACCTTAAGATGGACGATGCACAACTATGGGAATTTTTTTTTTTTAAAGAAGAGAAAATCTTATACTTTTCCCAAATTTTTTTTCTCTTTCCAGATGCCTCTCAGAATGACATCATTCTGTTCCATGACTACTCTGTCTTTTCCGTTTTTTGGGGAAATTTAACAACGACTAAATAGCATAAATTTGAGATGGAGGTAATAAGGAGAATCCCAGGGAATCGGCTCCTTGTTTTTAGTGGATGTGCAAACGTATGTGCCTGCTGTAAATACAGATTCGGGAGTGGCATGAAACATTATTTCTCAATACAAGACCTTGCCAAAAGTAAATCTCACTGTTTTTTAAAAGGGTTTTGTCTTTAGTGGGAAATTTAAACTTGTTTCAGATGGGCTCGGAGATGTCTGTATCAATTACTGTCAATTATTTATTGTGAAGTCTGCTGGCGGCAGATGGTGAAAAACGCCCTCACCTGTGTTTCCAGAGAAATTTCCCCACAGTAAGAGGAGGATGAATGAAAGAGGTGAGATGAAAGAGGTACATTTTGCTCTCACCGTCATGTGAGAGCAGGGCTCTAATTGTTTGATGGAATCTCTTGTTACGTTTTGATGAGCAGTGCTGAAGATTGTGTGCTGTGTGCCGACCGAGGGGGTTTAATGTGTCCTTGGCCTGGATGTACTCTCTTGTTCACAAAAAGGCCTACGGCTGGGTTAGACCTACAGGCCTGCCTGCTGGCCATCAAACATCAATGTGGTTTGCCGCTAGCTGGAACTGATGATGCATTCACATCGCCGTTAATTTATCTTATAAAACAGTGTCGGAGTCGTCTTTATGCTTCGCTTGTATAGTAAAAAAACTTGATAAAAAAAAGGAATGATAATTAGAAAATAACTGTTGCAGATGGTAATGAAGTGTCTTTACAACCAGAAAAGCCTCAAACTCGCATAAAACCGCAGACGTTCGTTTCCGGAAAAGCACCCCGTGCATCTCGGCCCCATCTGAAGTTCCACCGTCGCCATGGCGACAGCGAGAGTCGAGGAAAAGCTGAGAGAAGGGTGTCTCTGTCCTGCTTGTGCTTCTCATTCTGGTGGTGGCGTCTCGCGCAGTGCGCTGAGGGAGAGACGTAGCGAGCTCACATCCAACTATTCTCTGAGAGTTTGGCGCCGGCAGAGGCAGCCCAAATTTGACGGCGATACCTCGGCGGCTATCGAGAGGGACAGAGATGCTGAGTGTGTGCCCCCCGGGGGGGGGGGGCGCTCGGCTGACTGCCAACTATTAGTGACATAATGGCTTTTCATATTGCGGCCAAAACAGGGCAGCTTCCCCGAGGGGGCAGCTGGGAGAGCAAAACAACAGATAATCAGCTTGTGTTCACTTAGCGCCTTCATTTTGCCGTCTCTTAATAAGACATCTTTTAAAAGAAAGAAAAAAACTCAATCCCTTGGTGCAGGCGGAGGCTGAGACCCTGGGGTGAAGTTAAAGTCCCACCTGTGGGGAGAGGATGGGCAGAGTTTCTCCCAGGCTGACACACAAAGAGCCCTAGTGTGCCGGCAAATCAATGGAGTCTGCTAGACGCATGCCAAACACCTGGGGAAGGGAGTAGCCGCGCCACATCTGAGGGAGGAAGGGGAGCCGACGTCGCCATGGCAGCGATAAGACGGGTCCGCTCTCGTTTTTTTAGGAGCCGAGGACGCTCTTGGCGGGTCGCGCCCGCCCGCGCCCGCTAACACTGACGGGGTCTGGGAAACGAACCGCCTCTCGTCTGTGGTTAGCAGATACACACAGGGGTGCGTGAACCGAGGGAAGTGGGGGTGTGGGAAGTGGGGGTGTGGGAGAAGTGGGGGTGTGGGAACTGAGACGGCCTCCTGGTGGGAACCCACTTTTCCCAGTCCTCGTCCCCTGCCTTAACAAATCTGTTCAGGCCTTCTAGCTCAGGTTGACCGCATGCTGAACCTCCCTTCCTGTCCACCTGGTTCCTCCAGTTTGATGCCCTGACCCAGCTCCACCAGACAGTCTGAGACATCTTCATGGAGAACCCCCGCCCCCCCCCAGCCCCCGACCATTCCTGTGCCTGTCTGCCTGTGTGTCTGCTCTGTTGTGACTCCAGGCCCAGGACAGTGCACTCTCATGCGCAACATTGTTCCTCTACAAACAAAGGGCTTCCTTTTCCTCTCTCTCTCTCTCTCCTCCTCCCTGACCTCTCTGGGACTTAAAAACCCGCAAGGGGAGGCGGCAAATCAAAATGACGGCCTTCGAGTAGCCGCTGATAAGCGCAGCGGCCTGACCCGGGGCCCGCTCACGTCTGCGTCGTCTCCCACTCCGTCTGCAATGTTTGCTCTTGCGCA